TTAGAATTTAAGAGCTACGATTGTAATTTTACTTATAATATATGTATTATAAGTAAGAATAAGAATAAGAATTTTTGAAAAATTATGTAGGATCATTAAGGTGCCCTCATCAGTCATCACTGCGTGTACCGGCTAGGTACGGCATTGGCAGCAAGCTGTTTCGTCGCTGACGCATGCGCAAAAAGCTCTCGCGTGAGATAAAATTTCACGACTGCCCAACACTGCTCTATAGTTTGTTTCTATTTTCGTGGTCATCTACACGGTGGAAAAAAAAATAAACTAAAGTCGGTGATAATATGATAGATATCCCTAAGAAAAGTGGCATTATTGGTGAAAGTAAACCCGTCAATCGTTTATTTCGACTACTAAATTTTCGAATTTAAAAAATTGGGAATCTGCAAATTAAAAAATTTGTGTAACTAAAAGTTTGAGAATATAAAAATTTGGGAAATTTGAAAATTTGAACATTTGAACAGCGCATCCGTGGTTGTCATACACAAACGATAATGTGTAGAAACGTAGACAGAAAATGCGCAGAAAGACTGAAAACTGGTCGTTCGACGCTCTTGCTCTTTCCGTGAATTGACTATATATAGATAGATACTGTTGTAATGTCCCTGTGAATACTACAAACTTATGGAGGGGCAAAAGATAGGTTGGGGTTTTCAGTTAACCGCACTCGTCATTCGCTTAGTGCAGCATAGTGGCGGAGACGGTAATAACAGCTACATATCGGATAGTTGACAGACATTGTATGCGTTTACTTATATGAAATCGTAATTTTTATGCGTGTATTATATTATTAAGAAAATGGCAACACAAGAAGAAGTGGGTATTGGAGATTTGGTTCTTTTAGATGAAATTACTGTGGAGAGTGTTGTAGATAATTTACGGACAAGGTAAGATTGTATTCTGAGTAGTAACAAATATTATGGCAAATGATCTAAATGGCGGGAAATCGAGAAACGTGCGTTGCTTTCTTCTTGAGAATTGTCATAGGCCACAGGTGTCTTCCGAGCACCCCAGTAATTTGTAGTACTTCATAGATCATCCACCAAGAGGGCGTGGCTAACTATGTATATTAGCAGGTGGTTGTAATTCAACATCATAAAAGTACCTGTTTGGATTTCAACTTGACCTAAAAATTTATTACAAGAAACATACCCTCGATTCGCAATAAAATCATTCTTAATCGATAATAAGCTTGTAGATTTCACTATTCTACTTACGCTTCAGCAGTGAAGCTTTCAATTTTTGCATAGTTTTATTGTCTTTCGTATAAAATTTATAATTATAATGCATAGATTTATTCGTAACATTATTATACGTAAAACCGTTCTGACATAGTTTGATTTTATAATAAATGTTTAAATCTTATCAGGTTCTATAGTCTATGAGTCATCGTCTTCAGTTTGCGCGTATTTAATTTTGCATTATGTTTCATTGGGCTGAAAATGTTTTTAGTTTCTTCTTTATTCTATGCAGACATTAAACATTTGTACTATTATGTTATTCCAACACGAATCATACATTTTATTTAATTAAATATTAATCTATATTTGTACATGTTTAAAAGAAAGGAATAATTTTAAGCGGGAAATAGAGAACATAAATAGATAAGACAGAATATGAAGTGTTTACTTTATTAGAGTAAACTAAACGTTCCTAGAAAAAATTACATTGCAGCGAAAAATTTTCGATATCATTATTTTCATATTTAGAAATTTTTTAATGTTTAATTTTTAAAATTTGCAAATACAAGAATTTTCAAATTTATTCACCTTTCGTTTATTTTTAGGTAAAGGAAGTTTATATTTAAAGTCTGCTAAAACCTACTCAGTTGTTAAATATATATATAGTACTTTATATGCAAACAAAATTAATATTACATTATATAATTGTATTATAGAATTTGTTGCATATCACAAATAAGAACATTTATAGCAAAACTTAATCATTTAATCACCTTACCCTCGATAAAAAGATAAAGCTTATCTTTTGTACATAAAAGATTAATGTCTAATTGCAGTATTATTACAACATAAAATTATTTTATGTTATGTTTTATTTTAAATTATTTTCTGGTTGCTAATTTACAATTTTCGTATTATTTATATTCCATATAATTTAATATTTTAGGTTTAACGGTGGTAAAATTTACACGTATATTGGAGAAGTATGTGTCAGTATAAATCCTTATAGAAATATAAACATATACGATAGCAATTATATCAATAAATATAAAGGTAAATGATTATGGAGTAAATGTTTTGTTCTCAAATAATACAATAAAAGCATAATAAAAATTTGAATTATAGATAGAGAATTATTTGAAAATCCACCACATATTTTTGCGATTTCTGATGCCGTGCACAGAGAAATGAAACAACAAGGTCGTGATACTTGTATAGTAATAAGTGGAGAGTCAGGATCTGGGAAAACAGAAGCGAGTAAAATTATTATGAAATACATTGCTGCAGTTACAAATTTAAGTGGTCAGCAAGAGATTGAAAGGTATATAAATTATTCGAGAACTCTAATTTGCTATGATTAATTTTTTTTATCTTTGTAACGTGAATTATTATAAGGAAATAAATGTATGATACAACAGTTGCACCTACTTCATTTGCTTTTAGGATTTTATATTTTTAGCATTTAAAATTATTTTTTCTTGTATGTCAGAGTAAAAAATATTCTTATTCAATCCAATTCGATATTGGAAGCCTTTGGAAATGCGAAAACAAATAGAAATGATAATTCGTCTCGATTTGGAAAATACATGGATATAAATTTCAATTTCAAAGGAGATCCAATTGGCGGACATGTTACCAATTACTTGCTGGAGAAGTCAAGAGTTGTGTATCAACAAAATGGTGAACGTAACTTTCATTGTTTTTATCAGGTATTGATACATTTACTTTTTATCTCTTTGTTTTTTACTATTGTATGATGTATATAAATATAAGCACATGTACATATATATATCCTTTATTTTAAATATATAGTTATTAAATGGCTGTAGCGAAGGAGAATTAAATAAACTAAGATTGGTCAGAGACCCAGCTGCATACTTCTATGTTGGTGCTGGAAATTGTAATAAAGCGAGTCCAAGTGATAAAAGTGATTATAAAATGGTTATTTCTGCTATGTCTACTCTTGGATTTGTTGAAAATGAAGTACATACAATCTGGAATATTATTGCTGGCATACTGCATTTGGTTTGTTGTAATTTACATAACACAGTCAAAACTTTGTTGTTCTATTTTTTAGACAAAGGTTTATGTATTTTACAGGGCAATATTACTTTCAAACACGAAGAGGATAAACTATTAATTGCCAACAGAACTGCTTTAAATGATACAGCTAATTTACTGTCTATTAGCCCACAAGAATTAAGTACTGCTTTAACTCAAAGAGTTATCGCAGCAGGTGGAGAAGTTATGCAGAAAACTCATACTTCAACAGAAGCAGAATATGGAAGGGATGCCTTAGCGAAAGTAAGACTTTTATGTAACTTTTTTATTCACGTTTCTAGTAAAAATACGTAAATGTTAAAAAATGTTTCAGGCTATATATGAAAGGTTATTCACCGAGATAGTATCCCGTGTTAATACTGCTATTAATGTGAATGATACAGAAACTTATAAGAGATATAGAACAGTGATAGGTGTACTTGATATATATGGATTTGAAATTTTTGATACGAATAGTTTTGAACAATTCTGTATTAACTATTGCAATGAAAAATTACAACAACTATTTATTGGTAAGATAGCTTTCTGTATATTTATTATATTATACATTTTACGATAACATTAAATGTTTTAGAACTGGTATTAAAGCAAGAACAAGAAGAATATAAAAGAGAAGGTATAGCATGGCAAAATATTGATTATTTCAATAATCAGATAATTTGTGATCTTGTGGAACAACCTCACAAAGGAATTATAGCAATTATGGATGAAGCTTGTCTTAGCGTTGGCAAAATTACAGACGAAGTTAGTATTTGTAAATTATTACCTTACATATATATAAAAAGAAATTCGTACATATTTTGTAATATATTTGTTAGATGCTTTTGGAGGCTATGGATCAAAAGTTATTTGATCACAAACATTATTCATCCCGGCAATTAAAACCAATGGATAAAGAACTTCAGCATAAAATTCAATTTAAAATTAAACATTATGCTGGAGATGTAATATATAATATTAATGGCTGTTTAGATAAAAATAAAGATACACTATTTCAAGATTTTAAACGTTTACTGTATAACAGTAAGAATCCAATAATTAGCAAAATGTGGCCAGAAGGGGCTCAAAATATTTTAAAGGTATAAAAATATATACATACATCGCATTGCAGTTTATCCAAATGTTTATGTAAATATATTTTCATTCATTTATTTCAGACAACAAAAAGACCTTTAACTGCCGGTACTCTATTTCGTAATTCTATGATAGCTCTGGTTAAAAATTTGACAAGTAAAGAACCGTTCTATGTTAGATGCATAAAACCTAACGAAGTTAAATCGCCAGTTGTGTTCGATGAAGAAAGAGTAAACCATCAAGTACGATATTTAGGTCTTGTTGAAAATGTATTGGTCAGACGCGCTGGTTTTGCATATCGTCAACGATATGATACATTTTTAAAACGGTATTGTTATTTAAAATCAGTTATTTGTTATTTTTATATGTATGTTTTATAATTGAATTCTATCAATATTACCTCTATCAGATACAAGATGATATCACAATATACTTGGCCAAATTTTCGAGGTGGTACTGATAAAGATGGTGTACGTAAATTAATAGATGAAACAGGTTTTAGTAACGACGTGAAATATGGACATACTAAAATATTTATTCGCTCGCCTCAAACGCTTTTTGCGTTAGAAAAGGTTTATAAATTAATTTTCTTCAGTTTAATCTTTCTATTTCAAAACATGCACATTCCGAAAATTCTATTTGAACCATAATTGTTTGCAGGCACGTAGTGATTTGATACCAAGTATCGTAATACTATTACAAAAACAATGGAGGGGATACTTGTGTCGTCAAAAATATAAAAAGATGAAGGCTGCGCTTATTATAATGAAACACTATCGAAGATATAAAATACGTACTTATATTAAAGAATTAGAGAAAACTTTTCAAAATGCGAAGATGATGCGTGATTATGGCAAGCACTTACCTTGGCCCCGTGAAAATTTTGCAGTAAAACATGTAATACCTGTTCTAAAAATTATGTATGGGAGGTGGAGGGCATGGATGATACTTCGACTTATCCCTAGGGAAGATTGGCCTCAATTACGGTTAAAAGTATATATATTTTAATTGTTATGAAACTATGATAAATAGTACACTATAGTTTATGAGAAAATATTATTGAAGTAATAGGTAAATGACATCTTTGATTTTCTATTAAAATATTAGATGGCTGCCGGAAGTGTTTTACGTTCGAAACGAGTTTACTGGGGACAAGACAGACGCTGGGAAGGAAATTATTTATCTAAACCAGAAGAGAACCCTCAAAGTGACATTTTTAATGCTTCGATAAATAATCTTCGTAATACCGATCATTTTAAAACTGTCTTGTTTAGTGCGTTCATAAAAAAGACTAATAGGTTTGTATGAAATATATTATCTGATTAAGCCATGCATTACTTATAATATATAAATTATTTATGCAGGTTTAATAAACCGAAAGATCGTGTACTGGTTGTTACCGAGCATGCAATATATAAACTTGAGAATTCTAAATTTAAGACTATGAGAAAAGGTATGCCAATAACAGAGATCACAGGTCTGAGTGTATCATCCGGAAGAGATCAACTTATAACGATCCACTCAAATCGAGGAAACGATTTCATTATGTCTATCATTACTAAAGAAGATAAAGTTGGCGAACTTGTTGGTATTTTAAGTAATAAATATAATCAGTGGGTATACATTTATTTTTTAAGATATATTTTGAAGAAAATTGTTGTTATGATGTATGCTTTAGAAATAAATTTTGTACCAGGTTACGTTCCGCTGACTTACAAGTTATGGTGGATATAAAATTCAAGTGTATGTTAGGAAACAAAAGCAAGATGTTACGAGTAGAAGTACATCCCGAGGTTAATGAGCCAACATTCAAGAAAGATGGAGACAACATTATATATGCCATTCCACCATCAGTTGGTATAATTGATGGAAATACTAATACAAGGTTTCAAAGTAGGTCAACTAATTGAAATGATAATTAGTTCGATATTTTATCAAAAGCAGTGTAATTAAATTATTCTTAAAGCTTTTATGAGAATGCTTCGAAGTTCTTATATTCGTGTGTCTTAAAGGCTGTTTTAAGCATTTCTTGATGTACAAATACTGTTAGGAAAAGTATGAGTCATTATTAATAAGTGAAAAACAAAAGCGAATACATCTATTTAATAACGTGAAGTATTTTTATCATAAAAAGTCAATTGAATAATCATCACTGTTGAACAGAATTAATTCTTTTTTGTAAATACATGCTAAAAGCAACGCAATATTTTGCAAGTAATACAAGTAATAAATGCGTTATACATGTGAATAATTTGTAAATTATAAAATTTGGAATCATATATATATATATATATATATATATATATATATATATATATATATATATATATATATATATATATATATATATATATATATATATATATATATATATATATATATATATATATATATATATATATATATATATATATATATATATATATATATATATATATATATATATATATATATATATATATATATATATATATATATATATATATATATATATATATATATATATATATATATATATATATATATATATATATATATATATATATATATATATATATATATATATATATATATATATATATATATATATATATATATATATATATATATATATATATATATATATATATATATATATATATATATATATATATATATATATATATATATATATATATATATATATATATATATATATATATATATATATATATATATATATATATATATATATATATATATATATATATATATATATATATATATATATATATATATATATATATATATATATATATATATATATATATATATATATATATATATATATATATATATATATATATATATATATATATATATATATATATATATATATATATATATATATATATATATATATATATATATATATATATATATATATATATATATATATATATATATATATATATATATATATATATATATATATATATATATATATATATATATATATATATATATATATATATATATATATATATATATATATATATATATATATATATATATATATATATATATATATATATATATATATATATATATATATATATATATATATATATATATATATATATATATATATATATATATATATATATATATATATATATATATATATATATATATATATATATATATATATATATATATATATATATATATATATATATATATATATATATATATATATATATATATATATATATATATATATATATATATATATATATATATATATATATATATATATATATATATATATATATATATATATATATATATATATATATATATATATATATATATATATATATATATATATATATATATATATATATATATATATATATATATATATATATATACACATATGTACGAACAGATAGTATTTAAGAGAATGAAAACAGTATTGCCTTAAGAAGGTATCATTTTTGATACCCTAGTGTTATTTAATATCGTGGCCTTCTACTTAAAGTATCTGTTTTTACGCTGTCATGTGATTTTTATACAATATATAGGAAGCTAATCAAACTTACAAAATAAGATTTATATATAATGTTAATATTGAAAATTTATATTGTTCAGATTATACATTTTTAAAGATAAATGTTTTCTAAGATAATAAGAATTTTACAGTTCATAGATTTGTCATTATTTAATTATAATATAGAAAATTTGTTAATCATGTTAACATGATGGTGTTCTAACGTTACTGTAGTGCTATTGATAAAAGTGATAATGATTTTGTAATTGAAATGTAAGATTATGCAAGAGGTATAAAGCACGGTGTAAAATGGTGCCATTGTTAAAAATAAACTAATCTTTTATATATTTATATTTGTGTGTAAAGTTGTACCAGAATAATAAAAAGAGACGGCAGTTAACATTCTATAAGTGTTCCTATGAATATTATATTTCGCTACAAGTGAAAAAAAGGAAAATCCGTTTTTCACGTACTTTTTATTGTTAAAGTATAATAGAATACATTTTTTATACAAAATAATAACGTGATCTAATCGATGCGTTCATACAGATATATGTATCCTAATTCTTTTGGCGGATTTTCCGACAACGCAACCTGAAATAAATAACTTATATAGATCTATTATATTAAACACCTGATATCTGCGATACATACTTTGTCATCATTGTATATTACCCATCGGCCTTCTTTTAAAAGATGACACACATAATGTCCTACCATTGTTGATGTTCCCATATGAGATATAAATCCCACTAATTTATATTCTAAAATACGACGACAAAAGTAATTACTTAAAAAATCTTAAATGTAACGTATAAACACGATAAAAAAAATGTAAAATATCGTACGATGACTTCCGTCTCTAAATGTTTCTTCGGAATGCCCTGATTCATCTTCAATTTCTAAAGTATCTAACTCAGCTTGGTGACTAAAAATCCAATCTGCTGCGCGTTCTAAATTATTGTCAGTCGCTTTAAGAGCTTTCGTTGCTTGTTCTCTGGTGAAACCCATTCCCATTACCATTGCAAGAGCATCTTCGTTTACCGTAAATCTATCTTTTCCTAAAATTAACAAAAAACATATATAACAAAAGTAACGTTATTTCCTGTATTTATCAACAAATTACCTGCTTTTGCGTCAATTCCAGGTGGTACAAATGGATCTGCAAAATCTGAATCCATAATATGTTCCATTAACCAATTGGTAGCTGCTTCTAAATTACGATTCTCTGTAAAATATAGGGACCTTTTACAAGCTTCTGGTGGAAATCCCATATCTATTAATTGATCCAAAATCACGGTATCATAAACCGGCGGAGAAGGTTCAGAACCATCTGTTTCTGGCAACAATTCTTCTGTAGGTTGTAAACCAGAACCTCGAAGAGAACTTAAATCCAATATATCAGGCATTTCAACCGCTATATCTAATTTCATAGGTTTCCAATCTAGTCTTATCATGAATTTTTTTAAGTGTATTAATAGATAATCCGGAAAAGTAGCAAGTCTAGTTGTTCTATAAAAGAATACATTTATTGATTATGTGTACCATTTATTGGATAAACCAGTGATAGGCAGAACTTGGTACACTATATGGCACTATATTTTTCCTGTCATCAGGATTTAGGAAATTCTCCCGAGTCTTTTTTCAAATCACTTACTTTCCCTATTCACCTCTTCAGAACTTTCTCTAGATCTTTCTTAACCGCTTCCCTAAAGTCTCTCTAGATATACACTTGGTGCCCATGAGTTATTTGGTGGACAAATGATCTGCCTATCACTGAAATAAACCATGACTTACTTTTGTGCTGTAGTTTTTTCGTTCAGTGCTGAACTGTAAAATTGTTCTACTATTTCAGATCGAACGAATGCTTGTAAGCAAGAGGAGAGCTTTATACGAGGTCTAACAAATGCATTTGAATCTAATTTTTGTCCTTTTGACTCGGCTTCCTTCTTGGCATTCTCGTAGGCCGCAACTTCATCCTATATATTAAAAGATATGTATATATATATGTTATAATATATAATGGTTGAACACAAATTTTAAAGTTAAAAAGGTGTACAATTAATTTACTTTGTTTATTGCAGCTTCCACAGGTATTGACAATGGCAGTAAATATTCCGGGCGATAAGTATACTTTACTTTGTTAGAACGACTGCATTGATACCTTTCTTCCACTTTAAATTTAAAACAATCAGTGGGATTCATCCGATGACGGCTGTGGCGCTATGTGATTCGTTTCCAGACATTAGTATTATATCTTAATTTTATATCAGAAAATTTAATGAAAGAAAAAACAATTTTTAATTTAATTTAATTACATCTACAACATTTATGACGTGAAGAAAGAATTCTTGTGCATCCTGTTGTCCGTTGGTAGAAAATCCAGGATGTTCACGACAAATTAAGTTTTTGAACATCCGCGGAGGAATACCTTGACGCGATTCATTTTCATTATTTGTACTTGGTGGTATTGAATATTTGCCAGAAAGTAAACCAATTCCAAGTTTAGCCCTATAATAGCGATCATTCGTATCTTAGGGTTCTTTAGATGCAGTAATTTTTACTTTCTTCTAACTTACATTTGAACATCAAAGTCATTTGCTGGATCAATGTAACTTTGTTGAAATATTTGCGGTGCTCCATCTACAAATCTAAAATTTATTTTCAATTATTATATACCAATCCTATCATGACAAAAGACAATATTTTTTTAAAAATATATTGATTTAATAATTACTACAGAAAGTTTACCATATATATATTTATTAAACTTACCAAGGATATACTCAAGAATAGAGTAAAATTTTTATAATAAAATGAAACTACAAACCTTTTTATAAAGTCTGGAATTACAAACAACATTTGCATAACGCTATTTAAGTAGCAAGAATTTCCTAAGTTAGCAAGTCCCGTGTATCCAGGTCCATACAGAGGTGTTAGTTTACTTGCAGCTTCTTGAAGTGCAACCCATTCACCAAATCTTTGATTAAGATCTAATTCAAGCTCCACCATAGATTTATCAGTTTTCTCCATTTGGGCAATATTGATACCCCAATGAGCTAAATGCGTAACTAAGTAAGGATCTTCTACTATATCATCTTCATCGTATGAAAACACATCTCCCTTCCCTTCTTTAGTTATAGTCCCTAATTTCACAGCTAAAGGATAACCGGTAGCACGATAATGTTGAACTGCATGATCATTTCCTCCTGTTCCATCATAAAATTTACGTCCACAGAGAATACTGCCATCAGTTAAATTAAGCCAAAGATTCTGTGTCAAGTCGCATTTCTCACACTTCCACCCACTTGGAGGTATCTTTTTTCCATTATCCAATTGTTTAAGATTCGCTGCATGTCTAAAAATGAAATGATTATTATGATTACGATAATAATTAAAATAGTTAATATTAATATTTTAACTTTTAATCTCACTTTGAAATTGCTCTTATTTCTCCATCCCAAGTTCCAGACAACGCATCTACTTCGGCTGCTTTTGTTGCAGCTTCTGCTTCTAACACACGCGTAACTGAAAGTTCTACCTATAAAAATTATAATTTATACATTCTTTTTATTCTTTCAAATTCCATTATTACAACAAACTTACTTCGTGCAATAAATTATCTGTTGGATAAGGTATTGTTGTGAAATTTGGTAAAATAACAATTTGGTAAGATTCATAGTAAGTATATTTTTGTTGGTCCGGTGTAAAACCATCAGCTGTTCCTATTGCTAACCTTGTAATTTTCTTTTCGGGTCCATCACCTTCATGTTCAGAAGGGATCTATAAACAAAAACTCGGTATTTTGTTATACGAATACCATTTACGAAATATTTTTCACTAAAATTTCTTATATTTAATAAATAATTTACCTCTTTTCTTCTTCGTTTAATGTGTAGAAATACAGGATTTTCTGTTAACTGATAATAATGTTGTAAATAATCCTGGCCTAATCCGAGAAATGTAGTAAGATTAACATACAGGCCTGTAGGAGAATCCTTAAAAATAAGATGACGAGAATAGTTATTACATGCTGATGTTATTGTTTGAAATTATAAAATCATCATGACATCTTACTGGAGTATCAAAAGAGTAAACACACTCGTCTTTGTATATTTTATCATTTTTCTGGGGTACTTTTACTTTAGACAAATGTTTCATCAATTCTTCCATCGTAAATAAAATGAAACCACTATAAAGAAAAATAAATTTGATCACACAAAACTTTTGTATTAGATCAAAAATAACCTATTTTAATATCACCGGTAAATCGTATTGATGATATGCGTGATTTGAGGAATAAGGAGAAAGAAGCGGAACGTATTCGATTCCTCTTGTTCCTCTTTAAAAACCAGTGGTACTCAATAGTAAATTACGATACTATACAACATGTACTTTCATATTTTGATTTCATATAATGTACTATAATCAAAGATGTCATTTAACAAAAAAAAAGGTATTTCTTGATACGATTTTAGATTAAATAATTTAATTTTTCCTATTAGTACGTTTGAGCAAACTATACATAGATGTTGTGCTCGTATGTATTTAAATACATATAAATATATCAATCTTTTCACGGAAAATCATACTCATCAACTGGCGAGTTTCTATTCATTCTGCGCATGTCAGCTCTAATTGCCTCGGGAATATTTAGTAACTATTAGCAATATGAATGCGCACTTGCGAATTTCATCGCGCTAAACATATGTATTTAGTAATGTTTTGTTTTGTATACTCCTTACACCAAGCATGACTAGTTACATACGTAGGTCTGGAATTTGAAGATTTGGAGATTTGAGAATTCAGAAATTTGAGAGCTCGCAAGACACCACTTGATTATGGTTGCTTAAACACATCATTGCATCTTTTTCTTGTTCACATGTTTTTGTCCACCATGTAATTATATGACCAAAGCGAATAGCTATAAAGCGATGGATCAGCACTAACTGGTGACTATTGTCACACCAATGGTGGGGAGCTTATCGAAGTTTCATACATATATGTGTGTGAGCTACTCAAATCTGCCGTTAACCTAAAATCTAATCTGTCGTTATTCTAAAATAAAACATTTTATTTATGGAGAAATGATCATGTAGACTTTAAAAGCAACGAATGTTTCATTGAATCATGTGTATCGTTTGTTATATATATTTATTCTAATTTGCAGTTATAACCAAATTGTTTACATTCATTTTTGTAATAATGGAAAAAGAAAGGTGCGTATCTTTTTAATATTTTGCAACATTGTGTAACATTACTTTTTGGGTTATTATGAACTATATTTTACAATCATTATAAAATTATATGAAATTATTTTTTCATCATTAGATGGTCAATATTTTAAACATAAATTATAAGTTATTACATTCTGTAACTTAGTACTTAAAAAATGATTACTAATATGTTTGCTTGGTATCAGATTCACGATGCTCCTCTTAGAACCAGGGGAAATATTTTTTGAAGATTATAGCGTTCAAATGAAAACGCTTGATAGTTCCAGTTCAGAAGGAGAAAAGTGGATAGATGGAAGATTAAAATTATGTTCAAAATCCTTAGTATTTGTAAATAAGGATATTAATCAGCCTTTAATTAAAATTCAACTTAAAGAAACTATAGGTATTGAACAATGTAAATCTAACAGTGTCATCGCAAAGTTAGTATTACAGTGCTATAGATATGTGTACATTATATTTTGTTGATATGTCATTAAATTTGATTTTATTTATAAGATATGGCAATACATTATTGGTCCAGTGTAAGCAATATGTGGAAATGTTGGAAAAGAATATTCCTGCACCATATAAATTTATACATGAAAATGCTACTTTTTATTTCTACTTTAATTATGCAAAAGTAGATGATTGCCTTCCACAAATGCTACAACTGATCAGAGCAACCACCTTACCAACTGCAGAACAAAATGCCATGGTATTTTTAATAAACATTATTTTTTATTATTATATTAGTAGATAAAATTATTAAATTGTTATATTTGTACAGATTATGGCTATTGTACATTCTCGACAATCTAGGGTATCATTTGATACATCATGGTTGGAAGATCTTTATGAGCAAGTAGTATTAGAAATTCAAGCAAATAAAGTATTACCTCTTGTTATAAATCCAGGAAGAATACTTTTGACAACTTCAAGAATTTATTTTCAACCTTATAATAATTTGGATCAAGTATGCACTTTATAATAGCAATAATTGATAATTCTCACTTAAGTAGTTCAAAAAACATTTTTACATTTTTTTCAAACATTTTTCACATTTTTAGCATCCAGTTCTGAAGATACAACTAAAGGACATTAATAACATTATTAAGAGAAGGTTTCTTTTAAGACAAATTGTAAGCACAATATTTTACATCTACATATGTATAATCATTATAATTTGATATACAACATCTCTTTTATAATAGGGGCTTGAAATTAAGTGGTTAAAACAACCAGAAAATAAAGTTGAACATCTATTTATATCCCTGAAAAGTCCAAATGATAGAGATGTATTATATACAAGTTTATTAAATCAATCTGCAGTTTCTTTAGAAAGAGTTCCCCAAGATCAAATGACTATGAGATGGCAAAACGGATCTTTGTCAAATTACGATTATCTATTATATATTAATAGGTAAATCTTATATCGATATAAGTTATGATAACAAGTTATTTTGAAGCAATTGTATATATATTATATTATATTATATATTTTAGTTTGGCAGATAGAACATTTCATGATTTAACTCAGTATCCAGTTATGCCTTGGGTGATACAAGATTATGTCTCTTGTACATTAGATTTAAGTGACACTAGTATTTATAGAGATCTTTCAAAACCTATTGGAGCACTCGAAGAAAATCGATTAGAAAGGTTGAAGGTATACATCTTTTTGCGATAAATACTTTCAAATAGAAAATATTCGAATAACAATATTGCCACATTTTAGGAACGGTATTTGGAAATGTCGGAACCGAAATTTTTGTATGGCTCTCATTATAGCGCACCAGGATTCGTATTATTTTATTTAGTACGAAAATATCCTCAGTACATGCTTTGTTTACAAAATGGAAGATTTGATCATCCAGATAGAATGTTCAATAGGTATGTATGTATTATTAATCAAAGCACATATTAATAGCAACAATGCTATAAAAGTAAAAATCTAAATTTGTAAATATTAAAGAATTGTTAATATTATTTTTAAGCTAAATATATATGAATATAATTTTGAATCGCACAGACAAGGCAAAATTTTATGTTAATTGCTTTTTACACTGTAAAAGTACATAATTACTCTGTCAACTCTGCAGAATCGATTTTTTGTTTTACTCTTATCAACAAAAACAACTAACAGTGTAGCTGACGTATGGAAAAATGTTTTGGTGAACATGTCTGACTTTAAAGAATTGATCCCGGAATTTTATGACACAAACAATGGTGGGGATTTTTTAGTGAACAGTTACGGTATCGACTTTGGTTACCGTCACGATGGCACAAAGATAGGAGACGTACAGTTACCACCATGGGCAAATGGTATGCATTTATTCTTTGGAAAGGATAGAAACGTTTGAAATCTAATTACAAATCAATTATTCAATTTTAGGCCCAGCTCACTTTATACAAGTATTAAGAAATGCTTTGGAAAGTGATTATGTCTCTCAAAATCTTCATTGTTGGATCGATCTAATTTTTGGATACAAACAAAGAGGAATTGAAGCAGAGAAGGCCAATAATGGTAAATTGATATTTAATTGCAAAATTTAATATATAAAGAATATATATTTAACAACACGTTACATTTCAGTATTTTTTCATTTATGCTACGAAGGAGCAGTAGATTTAGATACTATTCGAGATGTCAATGATAGACATGGATTAGAAATACAGATTATGGAATTTGGTCAAATACCAAAGCAAGTTTTTACTTTACCACATCCTAAACGTTCCGTTTCGATACTGGATAAATTTCATGCTGAAACTGTCTTAACTTCGATTAAAAACGAAACAGGTTTGCTATGAATGATTTTTATTTTTACATAAAATCTTAATTGTATAAAATGAACATTGATCTTTTGTAGAAAATGAAAATCTCATAACAAAGACATTTGAATTATGTGAATTAATGACCTTCCAATCTCACAAAGATAGCATAAATAGCATTGCAGTTATAATTAAGGAAGAAATCGATGAAGTGATATCGGTTGGACAAGATGGAATGCTTAAATTGTATAGTATAAAAAATAAAAAATTGAGGCGTAGCGTATCTTTATCGTCGTTACCACTTTCTTCTTGTGTATCATATTACACATCTCTTCATCGCAATGTACTAGTTGCTGGTTCTTGGGACAATTCGTTGTGAGCATTTATTTAAATATATATTTTATGTGTGTGTGTGTATATATATACGTTTCAAACTCTACCATTAATCATTTATAATTTTATAGAATATTTTATGATATTGAATTTGGTAGAGTAATAGACATATTACCAGGACACGACGATGCTATTTCTTGTTTAGCATTGAGTCCTTCCCGTCAAATTATTATATCTGGTTCATGGGATTGTACAGTAAAACTGTGGCAAAGTTATATTTCGGGAACAAAAATTAAGCCAGCAAAATGTCTAATTGCACAATTAGACCATGATTCTAAAGTAACTTGTATTAACATATCAAGGTAAGTCTTTTGCATTTTTCATATGTATAAAATTAAATATTTATTAAATATTGTATTAATCGCATTTTAATATTGAATACATTTAGAGATGAAACGTTACTAGTATCTGGTACAGACGATGGCGAAATTTTTTTGTGGAATATGGACACATATAACTTACAGTTAACTGTAAAAGGTATATTTTAAAATAATTATTCTCCTTGGCTTAACGAATATAAATATTCTATTTTTATACAGCCCATACTTGTAAAATAAACGCGATGGTGTTCGATCAAGAGGGAAAAAGTATAATATCATGTGCACAGGACAAAGCGTTGAACATAATTGACGTTTGTACAAGTACACGGATTTATCATACAACCTTAGAACACGAACTTCTAACATTATCATGGTTTGAAACTTTGCTACTGATAGGAGATAACAATGGAAATATTAATGTATGGAACCAGCAAGGTGGAATTTTTATTGCAAAAATACGCTGTCATGATGGTACAGTATATTATATAGATTAATAAACAATCGATTGAATATATATAATTAAATTGTCTTATTTAATCAAAAAGGCATTCACTTTTAGGACCAATTAATGCGTTATTAGTATCAACTGAAAATAATATAATTGTAACCGGTGGAAAGGATAAAAAGATAATTATATGGAACTGCAAAAAAACATAATTCTTCTTATAATACTTATACTGTGACTCGAACATTTGTTTGATTATAAGCTAAATTGTATAAGTATAACTTTTAACTTAAGAAGTAAATATAATATAGCAAATTGATTATATTAAAATAATTGTAGTGTATTCAATTAAAATTGTTACAATATTCATAAATAGTTTAACGTATGTTGCAAAGTTTATAATATTTTAATATATTTTATGTTGTATGAGTATACATTTCTAACAATTTATAGAAGATCATAAATATAAACATATTACGTTTAAAATACTGTTGCCTTCTTTAAAATGACTTTTATTTTATAGAATGCTCGTCCTACATTGAGCAGAGTTTTTAGACGTATTTCATATGTTTTAATGTTCAGTCTTGTTTTTCTCGTACGAAAGTAAATATACACACAAATAACATAAAAGTATATTTATCAAATCAAAAGTGTCATAGAAGCGTATATATAAAATGCAAATTAAATATATATTATAATTATTATTTATTAGGAATTGTATGTTGACTAGTAATCTTTCTGACTTTCAACAAATGGAAAAGTTATAACACCTTTTTTGTAAAGCACATCACATTATTTTTTACCGTGAATATATTTTCATTAATGATTATAATTTAATCATTATGGAAAAATAAATTCTATTTATTCTATTTTTTTAGATAGTTCCTTTCAATATATGTCTAAATAAACTTACTTCCATCTTCATAAAAATAAATTATACGATACGAACTTAAGTTATTTTCTGTTACTTATACCACTGTTTTATCATATCTACACGCGTATATAATTCTTTAGTTTGCCTACTTTTAACTATTTACTATTATTCATTTGAGCGTTCCAATATTTTATTTAATGAAAACTGTGAATGATTCAATTTTTTTAATTGTTCGTATGTTATGAAAAATATAATATTCCATGGTCCCATTCGAAACCAAGTAGGTACAAAACCTTTATACAGTGCTAAAAATCCTTCATTTCTAAAAGTCTATAAAAACAAACAAATAAACATACATATATATATAGTGTTAATGACATTCAAAGTATTCCAACGTTCGATATTCACATACCTGAACAAAACAGTCTATACTTCCGCTATAAATATGAGGTTGTAGCATACCGCTTGTGGTATGTATCCTTCTTTGATTCATTAAACGAGTCTGTAACATTATTTATATGTCAAGAACGAACGCTAAAAATAGGTTATTAAATGATTAATTAAACTTACACGAACAACATCTATAGGGGTAGAAGCTATTGCGCTTCCCATACTAGCTATAAAGCTGGACCTAAAATACGTATTAATATGAAAAATATGTGTTTCGTGTCTAATATCAATTTTTAAATTTTTAAATCATGTATTATGTACATTCGTACACTCATATAGTATTTTTTCCAAACTTCAATTGCTTCCACTGAAGCAACCCTTATCCAGGCACAGTAAATTAAAATACAAACTATGAAGTCTGTAAAACAGTGAATTTCTAATGAATTTACTTTTTTAACCAATATCCTATAAGTAAATAAAGTAAACAATGTAAATATACAAAAATTAAGCAGCAGATTATATTATAAATTTCGAATTGCAAATAAACTTGATGTATATGTGCAAACCAAAAATTGTTCTTAACAGAATGTAAGATGGTTAGTCATCTGAATAATAACAAGTTCAATGATTTCTATATAAAGAAGAAATATTAATACAATTTCCACTTTGAAGCTCTGTGGTCATCTCAATGTTCACGAACTGCATATATCCATGCGCATGACAGTGTAAAAGAACCTGGAAATAAAATTTTTCATTTTTAGAAAAATATTACTTCCTTTATAACTAACCATTACAGTACTAATATTTTTGGGCAAAGAATATCTCAGATGAAGTAATTCTAAGTTATGAACTTTCTATTAAATAAAATTATGTCATGTAATGATGTCAATATTACACCAAATACGAGGAAGATTAAAATTAAAATTAAAATATTTTTGTTAGTATAATCTGTCACACAATTTTATGGCAGTAAAACAATAAATTATTGGTGATATACAATGTGACATATAGTTTACTCAAAAAGATTAACTATTAACTATCCTATTATAAAATAAAATGTTAATGAATGAGTTACAGAACACCATTCAAATATTACTGGTTATCTAAATATACTCACATGACATCACCTATTGAAAAACAGTATTTAAAATTTGTTTTATTTGCAGATATTACTGAACATTTGTTAGCATAATAAAAATATAATGAATACAGTATATGAGTAAATACAAATAGCCTGGATAAGGGTTGAATGCAAACCTTAAGATTTCATATTAATTTACATATATTAAATTTGCAAATATTACTATTATTTCATATAAACATTAAATTTTCTTTAAAAAATTAATAATTAATATTAACATGAACAATATTACTTTTAGTAACAGTAATTACAAAAATAATACATAAATTGTACTTCAAGATAAGATAAATATACAATTTACTTACACAAAATGATTACTAACACTATCCCCCAAAATAGTGGTAAGTTTCTTTTTACTATAATCATATATAGGTAATTCTACAGCTGCAATAATTGCTGCTCTTTGAGCTGTAGGTCCAACACCCTATATATAACATATTTAATAAAAAATTTTATTTTAATTTATACAAAGCAAACAAAATATATTCAGAATTTTTAAATAAATTCTTAAGTATTTTACATACCCTCCACAATCCACGAATACCTTCGTGTTGATATACATCTTGAAAACAACCGAATAGCGATAAATTTGAATTAATACCAGTTACTTGCATGCGAACTTTTACCACATCTGTGGGGTTAGCTATTGCACTTGAAATAGCTCCTGCTAATGCAGCACATACAATATTTATAACAACTAAATCATCTGTTTCCCATTTATCCATAGCTGCCTTTTTTAGGGAATAATAGGTACCAAATTTTATAGTTCCATAAGTGGCTTGTCTTAAAATAGCTGAACTGATTCTATATAACAAAAATATTAATGATAACATGAGATTCTGTATTGTTAATCCGATATTATAATTAAAGTATATTGCTGAAACGATAAAAAAATAGTTTTAAATTGTTTTTACAAATACATGTAACAATTTTATATATGTACTTACCCAGAATATAGAGCTTTAAATCCTTCTTGTTGCGATATTTGATACAATGCATCTGTCATACCAGAATACTTTAAATGAGCATATCTTTTATCTAACTTTTGTCCCTGAACTTGTAGTCGAGTTTTTGTTGTATCTAAGGGAAAAGTACCTAATTGGAAATAATATATTAACAAAAATTATTTAATATTTATAACGTATTTCATTTATAAAGAAGTTATAAAATTTTAATATCACAAACCTAGTTCAGCAACAATTGAAGCTAAACCCCCATAAACAAAAGGTTTCCAATCTTTCCAATGACTTTCTCCCATTACAACGTTTACTTCCTTATCATTAAAAAGAACGTCTATTAAATACTAATATCATACTTTTAAAACACACTTTCACAATTAAATTGTTAAAACTATAATTACTAGAACGGTCAAGAAATAAATAAATAAATAAATTTTAGTTAGGTTAACTTAATCCAAATTGTTTTATTTAAGAAAATGAAATATAAACTAAATATAACATTTATATTGCTGTTTTAAATATTAATGTATGCGATTTTACTATGATTTAGCTGTAACCTTGAAATTGTCTTTAATGAATATAATATATGTAATTACCAGTCAACTTATAATTGATATAATTTATAACTGTGCAGTAAATTTTATGTACAAATAATTGCAATCAATAATAAAAGTTATTATATCAATAGTTGCGTTTTAATTGTCAATTTGTACTTTAATTTTACACGAGAATTGTTCTTAGCATTGTTCGAAAGTGTTAAAAAACCGTAAATCGACGCCAGCAAATGCATGACCAATCAACGTGTACTAGTATAGTTATATATAGTATAAGTTCTTCAAAAGTTCCTATACTGTTCTAAATTCAGAAATTTTCAAATTAAAAATCTTTAAAAGTTGGAATTGCACGACTGACTCATTTTTTTAGCTTCTAAAATTTAAAATCTTATTCTAGATTAAATAACCAGACTTTACTATATACATATATACATATTATTTTTAACTGAATGCTGCTTGTTGTATCAACAAACTTTATAAAAAATCTATCTATATATATATGTAATAGAATCAAATTGTATAAAAAGTACAATTGAGAAAAATATGAATTATGTTAGAATTTCAAGTCAAGTTAAAAAATATTCAGTTTGCCAAGTGATTATGATACACATTGTGCACTTAAAATCTTTCGTACACTTAATTACATTTATGGAAGAAATAAATATCGAAAACATAAATATTTTAATTAATAAATGCTGTACAAAGAGTATAATAGTTGGTAATTTAATATATCAATCAGCTCGAACTGGTACTCTCGTATGTACCGTTGTTTTATGTTTATAGATATAAACTTGTGCTAGAATTGCTATATCAATTAGAACTTGAAGAGTTCCACAAACTTCGAACTGAATTGGAGCTTCTTTTACAATAAAATAACACGTTTTAAACGTATCGCCTAATGTCCACATAGTAACCATAAGTATACTGAAATAAACATGACAACATTAGTAACTTTATTATTGGAATAAATTACTTTAGAAAGTATTTCTAGTTTGTAAAATGATAACATCATACCTCATTCCATTGGTAGATTTTTTATAAAAATTGCGAAGAAGTTGTGGTAGACCAAGCATAGCTTCGGTTAATACTGCAAGTATTCCTACAATTTCAACAAATATCGGTACATCCACTAATAGGTACGTTAGAATTCCTACTAGGGCTGCAAACAGCAGCATAAAGTCCAAATAAGATTGAAAGTCTGTCCATTTCCAAAAAAAATTTGTATCTAAATCTATCGAATTAAAATTGCTCGTTGGTTAAAAGAAAATTATTACAAATATCGAATCGACTGTTAGATTATTTCTATGCATTGAAACATACCAGAAAATACATGTTCTCGAATTTTTATTACTTGATTTCTATTTTGTACATTAACACAAAGTTTGATCATAATAAACATAGTGATGATCATAAATATACTTTGCAGTAAAAGAGGTATTTCATAATGCTTTCCGAACCTGAAAGAAAAATATCTTAATTACATTAACTAATAAGGTAAAAGCATGCGATACAAGAACAAGGGTACAAACCAAAAAAAAATACGTAATGTGTTAGCTATTAAAAGCGTAAGACATACATAAAGGGAGAATCCTTCTGCATTCTCCTTTTTTTTTATTTCCTTGTACTGTGGTACATATGGAATAATTCCACCAAATATTATTGCTCCAGAAGCAAGCCAATGTGCCAAATCTTTAATCGTTAATTGTTCATAGACATTATACATTGTAGATGATTTTTTCATGTACATAAAATTTCACTATCTACGATTCATTACGGACGGTAAGTTTTAGGTTATATCCCCAATATTTTTAAACGTCATCTTGTCAATAAATCATTTAGATCAAAGAAATCTCTGATAATAATTAAAGAACCAACGAATCGCGACAAAATACATTAATGTTATACATGATGTATTACTACATATTACTGTTTTCTGCAATTTTGTTCGTATTAACAATAAATATGCAACATCACTGTATACATATATATATATTATATGATACTGTAATAAAGCTCTATATGTATGTGCATCATGAATATTAGATCCCAAATTATGTATGCGTACATACACGACGTGATTCATGAATTCAGAATATATTGTTGCTTAGCAACCTAAAGTAAAACGTCTATGCGTAAATATAAACATCTTACAAAGCGTCATAGCATCGGTTTAAAATAAGATAATAAATTTTTATCATTCTTTTTCTCTATTATTCCAAATTTTTGGTGAACTGTTAAAAAATTTCACGTAATGAACATCAAGGGAAACATACAATATAAATAAACAGTATTATATAGGTAATAATAAAGTATTCGAAGAAATGACGAGATGTAACAGGAGTGAAGTTAATCTGAAAAGCACCGGTATGAAACACTATTTTTAATTATTTTTCGACTCGATTAAATATCGATATTTTAAAATATACTAAATTTTTTTTTGTCACAAATTTCGAATTTAGCTTACAATCAAAATGGACAAAATTATTTTGAACAGTTAACGGCATATAATTCCATGAGTTCCCACTTACGACGTATTTTATTAGCAAAATGTGTCGTGGATGCTAAAAATAAGAATTATATCTATAAAAGAAAACAGTCATGCAAAAGCATTGATTATAAACCAGGATGTGCAAGAACAAAAATTACAAATGACGTAATTGATAGATTAGCATATGATACCCTGCATCATCCAGCGGTAATATACTCTCACAACTTACTTATAGAAATTTATTGAAAATTTTTAATTTAATTAAACTCATCTAATAATGCAATGATTTCTAAAATGTAGAAGACGATCTATCCGTAAATCGTGAGTTATAATATTTTTCATTCGGTCATTTTCTACTTTTAATATATGTATGCTTTGTAAATAATTTCGAAAGTGGATTTCGATCAGCAAAAGTTCAGGAATCTCTACTATAATAATAAAAAATCTTTAATGATATATCTTCAATTAACGAACAGGACTTTTTAAAAATGTATTACAAATCGAGATATGTATGCCAGCGTGAAGATCAGAAGTATATCACCGGCTATTACAATGACGATGTAATTTGTTCGGAATCGAGACTACGTAATCACGTAATTTGCCCCGACACGTCCATATTCAAGTCAAATAAACTTGGGTCAGATATATCGTCAAGCAATGAAAACATAAAACAGCGATCTTTTACACGATCTAGTTATAATAAAATATTTAAACCTATAAATGTAAAATATCCAACAAAAATCAAAGATTATTCAGAAAACAGGTGAGACGAATTTTACGGTAGACAAATTTGTTTCCTGTTTTAAGTTTAATTCAGTTTCAGGTGCTTATTATTCGTACTCTGTTAACTCGGAAATAAACATAGATTCAGTGATCATTCAATAGTTTATCAATCTGCCTCTGATTTTATAACGCAAGAGGTCAGTCGTTTTTCATCGACAGGAAGTACATCGAGAAGTTATGAAAATTACGAAAACGCACAAGAGTCTGCTAACATGACCAGTAATCAGAGAAAATGTAAACAAAATGAGGATATTAAATATGCAAAATTTGTATACGACATTACACGGGAAATAATGCACAAAGGTCTCTACACTGATAAGGAATTACAAGAAGTGTTTAAGAAACATTTAGAGCAAAATAAACATGTTCTAGACAAGGTCAAGATTTAGAATATTTTTTTTACAATTTACATTTATCGCGTTTATCTTTAATAATTTACATTTATCTTTAAATAGAATAAAATGTTGTACGAAGTATATCAGTTAAAAGTTGCTTTGAATGTGTCCGACGATTCGGATGACGAAGAATTAGAAGATCTTATTCGTACTCAACAATTATTGAATATTTCTGAAATACGACCACCTACACCGCCGAAAATTCTAAATGAAAACAAGTTGTACGAAAGATTAAGATCATACGGGGAGGAGAATGAAGTTGTGCAAGAATCAAAAACTGCTCGTAGGAAATCAGTTGTATTAATAGACGCTAATCCCCAATTAGTTATAACGGAAGAAGATGTCCTTACGTCGTTGGTAGAAGCCAACATTGACCCTAAACAAGCTCAACAAATTTGGAAAGAACTATTTTATAAAAGCAAAGATGCGTTATTACCGGTGCGTATTTATCATAATTAAAGATGCGCGAGTAATCGAATGTTTGTCAAATTATCTGGTCAGATTCGGTTGGAAAAGCCATACGGACCTTCCGTTAATCCGATCGCATTTACGAATCATATAAATATGTTTAAACTTATAAATATTACGAGATTTCCAACTTCACACGAATATAATCGGATTACTTGAGGGTCCTCTGTTTGTTCGCTCCAGCGTGAACCCGAAATATCGGATATGTTTGCACATTCCTATTTATGCAGAATAATGAATAATATTTATTTTTTAATTCATGGAATGTACATTTTTTTTAGCATCAAACAAAAGAAAATCGATCGTACGAATATACAAGATTTCATCGCAATCAATCTAATTCAAATTCGAATAAAATAGACGGACGAGAAAAAAGTTGTACAACTTCCGACCTTATAATGCAAGAAAATAAAAACATACAAGTAGAATAAAAATGATTTGCATAAATTAAATAATGAAAAATATTTGACACGTTTCAAAATGTTTCACCGCTTCTTTTACTAAGTATAAGAACAACTTCGTTTATTACATCTTGTTTATTAATAGAAATAGATATTATATCATTCTTTTCACTATACCTTTTTTTTACATTGTCATTTGTATATACTACATTCCAGTAACAATAAAATATATGATGAAAAAATATATCTTACAATGTACAAAGATAGTTACAGTATGTTTTAAAAAATTACAATATTATTTACATATTAATTATACATTCTATGATCTATGAACATATGTATAGATATTTTTACAACATCTTTTTCAAATTACACAGAAACTATTACATTTTATGTGCGTAGTATATATTGTACACGAGCTGCAAAACTAGAACTTTTCGTTATCAATATTAAACTCTCTTCTTATTACTATGTAAGTTTAAATTTACTTAGTCACTTTATGTACGAATTGCGTTTCTTTTTCTTTTTAAAGTTCTAACCAACTTCACAATTGGTTATAAACAAACTATAAAAATGAAAATTTATTATAAAATTTCATTAAATACTAAAAAAAAAGAAGAGAGAGAGAGAGAGAGAGAGAGAGAGAGAGAGAGAGAGAGAGATTGTAGTTGCCTTCCAAAAGGTATAAATTTAATCTTACACATATCATAAAAAAATAAAAACATTATTTCTCAACTTAGAAATATACAGAACCACATTTCTAGATTCAAATGCAATGTAAGTAATTGTTTACTATTTTTCAGTTAATAACTTCATCTACTTCTATTCTATATCAAATCAATCAGAAATATCGTTATGAAGTGTTTTTGAATTATTTTAAAAGCATGCAAATTAATTAAGTTACATGCTACAATGGTAGTAGCTATAGCAAAAGTTAATTAGAAAGAAATTAAGTTTCGAGACAGAAATTTCATCCTGAGCAACTATGACATTCTATAATGACTTAGTTCATTCTTTATCAGCTACCATCAGATGCATTTGAAGAAGAATCTTCAAGTTCTGGAGCATTAGGACCTCTATTTAAAATAGCTAAGACATCTGTCACGTGTCTTACAGTAAAATCTGGTTGTGGATCTTCTTTCGACAAACGTGATTTATCCACTGTTGGAATCCAAATTGTACCTTTTAGACCTGCTTCAATTCCGCCTAATTAAAAGAAATTTTTTTTTAAGTTAAATCAAATTTCTAGCTATACAAATTATTGTTTACATCGAGTAAATAAAAAATGTTTAAATATATTTTAATAATCTGTAGATAATATAATAATTAGAATATAATACCTAAAATGTCAGTTTCCAGTTTATCGCCAACCATTATGCAACTATCAGGTTTTACATTTAAAAATCGACATGCTTTACGAAATATTTCTCTTTCTGGCTTCTCCCATGGTAAATCACCAGAAACTAGAATGATGTCAAAATACTGTTCAAGCGAAAGCTTATGTATTTTTTCCCATTGAGCATTAGAAGGGCCGTTCGTAATCAAACCAATGAGGTATTTTATTCTCAATTGACGAAGCATTGAAATTACATCCGACGACAACATTAGATAATAATATCGTAGATACAACCATCGTTCATAAACTTGTTTTGCCAGGTATGAATATTTTTCTCCAAGTGCTTTAGTCCATAAAATTGTGCGCCAAGTATCCAAAGTATTAATCATATTATCAGGACATTTTCTAAATAGTTTCAAGTATGTTGTTGTGATCTTAACAGATACATCTTCAGGAATACCATACTCTTGTGTTAGTTCCTCAGCCAACTGTAGATAAAGGTAGAATACCACCTATTAATATCTGTTCATATTATAATACACAAGCCAAGCGATATTACAAAATAATGAACAAAATACAAAGTACATTCTAGAGGAAAATGAAACTGATTTCCACATTCAACATAATACGTACTAACATATTATATCCTGTTCAAGGAAAAACATTGATATCGATAGAATCCTTTAAAGAATCAGTTTACAAGTCAAAGATGACAAAACGTTTATTGAATGTGGATTGTGATGTAACCAAATTTTAAGGAGGAAGAATACAAACGATCAGTTAGGAGTTTAGGTCACTTAATTCAGTTTTTAATGATTACCTAGAAAATGCATTGATTCATTGAAATACTCGAGCCGATTAGTGGACACTCGAAGTGGCACCCGCGGTCGTTGCTGTAATCACAACAAAATCAGTTGTGCCAACGACAAACTTATATTAGTTGAACCCTGAGAAACCTTAGTTAAATGGTTTTTGGATGTTAACATTCACAACATTTATCGTTTCAAGTTCTGTGTTGAAGACATCATTTAAATTTTGATACAATTTAACGATCCGTCTGCTGCAATATTTTATTTTCAATGCATGAAAAGCTAATAATATTTAAAAAGGTAGGTAATAATTTGAAAAAGAAAATACTTTAAAAAACGATTTAATAGAAAGACCATATTATTTTACAAAATCATTCGATATACATAAACATTTTTTAAAATTATATACACTTTGAAACTATTAATTATAAGTAACATCTGAATTGTATCAGTTTTTAGTAGTCTATAATTTAGTATAAAATGTAAAAATATTTAGTTCTTGCGTATATTTTAATATTTAAGTTTCAGAAACTACGTATTCTGTAAAAATATTGAGTAATTTCTTGGTTTGCCAAAAAACTATTTCCAGTCATGATTGCTACCTAAATATACATCAGAACTATAATCGTATGCACGTAATTTTACAAATATGTAAATAGAACATGTTATTTTGGTAACACAAAATGTTAGTTTTTGAATGAGACTTATTAAAGATTAATGCACCCTATCTGAGTAAAGTGTATTTTAAGACAAAATTATTTTCTCTAATTTTTTAAATATCTTCTATCAAACCTATGAAGCACGTGTAATATGTTTTTGCATAAGACTCTATTGTTTAATAACATAAGAATACAATAAAAATCCGTTAATATACAAAGTGACGTATTATACTATCGATATATAATTCTTTCATTTAAAATTAATTGAATTCTGTGTATTGGTTTTAATCTCCAAAAAGATGTTTTCCAAGTTCCATCATGCGATGATTTCTGCACACAGTTAAAGCTCCACGTTTCTTTAAAACAGAAGCAATATTTTCATCTGCTTTCACTAAATGACATAATAGATCTTCAAAGGCAGATTTTACATTTGGTTGAAGGCTTCCTATTTTCACTTTTTTCAGAGTTTCAATAATTTCTTCGGCCCAACCTGATTCAAGAGTAAATTGTGCTAGCCAAGGTATAACTTGTAAAACGCCAGCCATTGTTTGCATTCCAAGAAACCACAATTCCATAAGTTCCATCCATCGTTCTTTATATGACATAGCAACAACGAGTTCAGTCGGATCATTACTTTCATCGATTATATACGCATCCCATAAGAATCTTATAGTAGCTTGAATATATCGACATATAGAAAAGTCATTCTTCTTAATACGTTTTGCTTGTTGTTTTAATAGCAATAATCCTAAAACCACAAGATGACCATGCAATACTAAATTTTCTACAATTTGTTTAAGCTCCGGGAGATTATTAAATATAAATTTTAATAATGAAATAAATGTTGGCGACTCTTCAACTAATTTTGCTTCTAAGACAGTAATATTCATTAAAACATTGCATACAGAAACCATGGCCGTTCTTGAATCTTTTATTGCTTCAGACATATGCAATTCCAAATCTTCTTCTTTTTCTGGCTCTTTCAATGCTTTTAATCTTTCCCATTTAGGAACTGGTGGTTTTTTGTAATGAACAATTGTCCAGTGATAAGATAAACATTCAAACAAGACCTCTTCTTGTTTGTGTTTGATTAATATCTTTCTAGCATCTTCTTCTACAGCTAGGTAGCATAAAGCTGGTAATAAAAGTCTTAATAAATCGATCTCGCTTAAAGGATCATATGTAACCGGTTCAACGGATGACGGTCCTTCATCATTTTTGTTTTTGGCGTTTGCTTTTGCTTTCTCTGCTAATTTCCGATTTCGGTAAGCATAAAAAGTATCATTGGCTACAGTTAAAATATAAGGTAGAACTGCGTACACTTGTGGACGCATAGCAGTTGTTTCCTGGGCAAGCCATGCTGCTAATACTCTTACTACAGCACAGATAAATACTCGTTCTTTGATATCAGTTAATTCTTTCATTTTGGAAACTGACGTTAGTAACCCTATAATTGCAGCAAAGGCTCCCTTAAGAGCTGTATAAAGCGACTGCTTTTCCTTCTGCTCCAAATCCAATTGATCATTTGTAATGTACGCCAGAGAAATTTCAAGAATAACGAAACAAGATGTAATTAAATCTGCATTTGTCATAACAGTTTTAAGCTGTTTTCCTTCCATTTGCATCCTTACTTCTATAGATGCTAACTGAATTAATAGTAAAAAGAACACTTTTGGTTTCTCTTTGTCTGATAAGGTCCATTCTGCGCCTAATAGATCTAACATTACTGATGCAAGTTTTAAGGCTGGATCACGTTGATTTTTGCCTATTTTTGATGCAAGAATGTCATATAAAGCTTTATGGATGCTTATAGGCCAAGACTCATCCTTAGCAGTCACGCTAATATCTTTTCTACAAGACATTAATAAAGCTTGTAAAATGGTGCATAATTGAAATTTTCTTTCTGTATGATCTGTTTCAAAATCTAATGCAATTTTATTCATAATAGCATGAAATGGTGCTGTATCTGCTGCATCCCATGCTTCTGGGCCTAATCTTCCAACTAATGAAACTAAAATATTTAACGCATGATCCGTTTCGAAACTCTTTTCTGAATAGATATCACACATTTTTGGAATTGCTTTCTGTTCAAGTAAAGCCTTTTGACCAGGGGGATATTGTGCAATATTTTGCAAGCATGTATAAGCTTCGCTGACGATAATTAACATATCATCATCTGCATCTTCATCAGCTTGAGAAATAATTTCAAGCAAAGCAGGCACATGAGCAATCATATCAGGATGAGAAGCCAATTCTGGTTCTTGACAAAATGCAGAAAGTATAGATAACACTACAGATTTATATACTTGTGGAGGACAATCCACAGGAACTGCTTGAGTAGATAATAACTTTTTTAAGAATTTCGTTCCAATTGCTTCGAACAACAGTTTCTTAACCATTGCCGTGCATTCCTTACTGTCCACTAATTTTGTAACCATGAATAATGCAGCAAATTTTTCTGAATCAGTTTCAACAGATTTCAAAATTGCTAAGCACTTTTTCACACCCTCCGGTATACTCATTGTTGCAGTTAATTCAAATACTACGTAAAAATGAAATATTCTTCTGTTATGTTTCACAACTATTTTCACAATATTGGTTTTCTTGTCTAATTAACTAGAATCAGACATTGGTTATTTTTCAAAAGATGTTTAACTTTCACGTGTCACGGCTAAAAGCCAACTGGCAGTACTGCCAGACCAAATCTCTTAAAACTAGCCTTGCCCTTTGACACACTCACTTAGTGTGACCAAAATAAAGTTGCACCGCTACGAACGTTTTCCACAAACATGCGTGCATTATCACTCATGTACAGATTATCATCGATACGAGGTTAACTATGCCGTATAATTTCTTTCATTCGCAACGTAAAATACATTACATATACTATCAGTTAATTGTTTACGATAGTCCTACTATCGAAACTAAAAGGAACAATAACAAAAAATATTTACGACAACTTCAATTAATAGAATTTTATAGAAAAGAGGCTATCTTAATATACACGTATTTTTGTCACGATCAGCATAACCTTTTTTTGGGCGAGGCACTATGCACATATTACTGAAGTACAAATGCACTGTACGCTCTACTGGTATCTTAAGAACGTGAAAACCTTTAGTAACGTGCTTACACGCTTTTTCTGTTATGTCGGTCGTCTGGACAGTACAAGTAGAGTCGGTCAAAAATAACCCGCCGAGAGAAAGCTCTATATCAGGGAGTCGGCTCGTATTACACAGAGGTTTCTATTTTCGTACGATCTTCGTATTTAAACGGAAATCAGAAAATAGATGTAAATATAATCAATCGAATTTTTAGAAAGATATAGAAATTAAATATAAAATATGAATGAACGATTAAATAAATAAATAAATTATTGACCGAGTGACCTTTCAAATCTTTCGGGTTTTCAAAACGAAAATTCAATTAGTTCCGCGCACTCTCCAGGAACCAACGCGCATATACGAATATACATATATACAGTTTTAAGTACTTTGATTAATACTAACCGTTTATATGTACGCGTACACGTACGTTTCTTAACATGAATAATATTTTAAATATCTTAGCGTACCTTTCGACAAGTTTGATTATCGCCTTTTCTAGTCTCGATGAGAGTGTTGTCCAAATCAAAAAACACGGCGTTTATAGCTAGGTTTGACGGACAAAGGTGCTTCTTATGCAAAGTCGCCATTGTTATTGAAAGGTTATAAGTTGGTCCAACGGTGTTCCAATGAAGTATCGTGCATAAAACATGTGATGTTCATATAATAACTCCCTTATAAGAACACTTTAGGGAGGGATGTATAATTATCTTAAATAGTCAGACGTCACAACGAATTACATTCGTCTTGTCTCGACCTAATAGGTACCCTTCGTTTCTGACCTTTTCCCTTCTCTGATTTTCTTCTGACCAGCGAACGAAGAGACATCTTTGATAGAAACGTATATGTACGGGGTCGATAAATACGCGATTCAGTTTTTACACTGCCGCTATGGACGAGATATATATTTAGACATTGTACATCTAAGTATCGTGCATTAAACGCGCGTTAGTTAGGCAAATGTACGATAAGGTATATATGCATACATATTCATATGTACATACAAATGCAGAAAATTATGTTCTATACTTATGAGTAGTAGCTAGTATACGTATTATTATTATTATTGTTATTGTTATTATTACAACCGAGGATTAAAAAATATATTGAATGATATACTCTGTATCTTGTTTATGTTTCTATACATATGCACGTATGTACGTGCCTTACATAATATAAATAGTTTTAACGTTATCGACTGAGTTAGAAACAAGTTAAAATTTGTGTATTAGAGGGATAAATATAAAATTGTTCATTTTTATATTAACTAATAATGTATCGAATATAAAATATATCAAAGACAATCAATAATTCTGACATATTCAGGATTATTGATAATAAGTAAAGTGAAAGAAAGATCTAATGAAAACATTTATATTGTATATTTAATAACTTTTTCGAATTTAAATATTGTTTTATATATACATATAAAATCTATAAATTTATGTATCGTTCATATTAAAGTAATAAAAAACATACATAATATAATTTAAGGTTGTTTTACTGACGATGATGTTATAATATTTTGGCGCAAAGTTAATGCTTGCTTTGAATCCGTCTTTCCATTTGTTTACAATAAAATATTTTTTATTCAAGATTGATTACATCATATTAGAAAATGTTAGCTACAGCAACCACAGCTACTCTTCAAGGAGATGAAGAATTCGAGGAATATAATCCACAAGCGAAATTAATAAAAACTCTTGAAGTAAGTTTACTCTTTAACCTGTATTACGTGTTTTCATTGCAATCTTTCAATAATTTTATGAAGCGGTTTTCGTACCTTATATTGATAAATCTAGAAATATACTGTTACATACTTTGTAAATACTTTTTCTTTCATTTAGGGAAATGGAATAACGGCAGGAGATATAAAAAAATTAGAAGAAGCTGGTTACTACACAGTAGAAGCTGTAGCTTATGCTCCCAAAAAACATTTACTCGCCATTAAAGGCATCAGTGAAGTTAAAGCAGATAAGATTTTACAAGAAGCTTCGAAACTGGTTGTAATGGGATTTAAAAGCGCCACTGAAATTCATCAGACTCGATCAAATATCGTTTTCGTGACTACTGGTTCCAGTGAATTAGATAGATTATTAGGAGGGGGTATAGAGACTGGTTCTATCACAGAAATTTTTGGTGAATTTAGGTCAGGAAAAACTCAGTTGTGTCATACGCTTGCAGTCAATTGTCAGTTACCTATAGACATGGGCGGTGCAGAAGGAAAATGTCTTTATATAGATACAGAAGGAACTTTTAGACCTGAAAGATTAATCGCTGTTGCAGAAAGGTATAAGATTGCAGGGGATTCTGTATTGGATAATGTAGCATGTGCTAGAGCTTATAACACAGATCATCAAACTAAATTGCTAATTCAGGCTAGTGCTATGATGACAGAATCCAGATATGCCTTATTAATAGTCGATAGTGCAACTAGTTTATACAGGACTGATTACTCTGGAAGAGGAGAATTATCTGCAAGACAAACACATTTAGCTAGGTTTCTTAGAATGCTATTGAGGATAGCCGACGAACATGGTGTTGCTGTTGTTATAACCAATCAAGTTGTAGCACAAGTTGATGGTGCAGCTAGTATGTTTGGTGGTGATCAAAAGAAACCGATTGGTGGTAATATTATAGCACACTCGAGTACAACAAGATTATATTTACGTAAAGGAAGGGGAGAAACTAGGATATGCAAAATTTATGATTCACCCTGTTTACCTGAAAGCGAAGCGATGTTTGCTATAAATGCAGATGGGATTGGAGATGTTAAAGAATAACATGTTTTTTATTTATAAAGGGTAAAGAAAGAGCTGTTAAATATTCCATGAAACATAAATTTATTTTTGTAATTTTACATAATATTTTAAGTAACTTGTTTTATTACACAAAAGTATTGAATAAGCAATAAATACTATTTAGTTTAGGATTATTATGTAATGAAATTAACTAATGAAATGAAATAAAACTAATGAGAAGAATTAAGTGTACAATAAATGCAAATTTGTAACTACTGTTTTAAATTTTTATGTAAAATTTCACATTGCAAAAAAAACAGAATATAAATTAATTTGTTTTTTTGCGATTCTACAAATACGTTGTTATTATTATTACTAAATTTCATTAATAAGAAATGATTTTGTATTATAATACATAATGAATGGAAACTGTGTAGTTTTACCTATATAGTTACAAACTATATCACACTATGTAGATAAAGACTAGATTATCTAGGAAATTTTGGTAATTGATCTGATGTTTTAAAAATTTATGTACTGAATTAATGTATGACAAAAATATCGTCCTAATCATAAATAATAATTTAATTAACTATTTAAACGAAAAAATATAAAATTATTTAGTACTTTTGCAAATTAAAATGTTTTATTTGCATACGTGGCAACTTTATCGACAACCGATTATTGTTAAAAAACAATTTTACTGTGCGTTACGATCTTTTTCGTTCAATGTTAATTTTAGGAAAAGAAATATTAATAAATATTGGTATACAAGTAATAAAATTAAATACACGGAAATAAATTTTGTTTTGAGGTGGGTTATGTGCCGTGTGACAAGAAACTACACAATATAGATAACGTACACATAAGCATAAAAGAAATTTTGATCTTGTTTATTTACTAATATTTATTAGAAAACGCGTTAACTTTAAATCCGTTTCGTAACTTTATTCGCTAAATAATAGTGCATTTATATACGTAAAAATTGATTATTATAATTTAGTATATCGAGTCGTAATTATAATTATAATTTTATATTTCAGTGTAAGACTTTTATGTACAAAAATGAGTGACGATATTTCGTTATTTACTTTACCAAACAATCAACCAATAATTTCTTTAGAATGTGAAACTGCATTTAACGCTTTAACGAAAAATGAAAAATTATATGCACATTATTTAAGTCAGGCTGCATGGCATGGTGGTCTAATTGTGTTTGTACAAACTTCTCCAGAATCACCATTAATATTCGCTCTGTTACATAAAATTTTTATAACTGAAACAATAAATGAATTGAAAAAATCTGCATTCGATGTTGGTATTAATGAAGATGAATTTACTGTAAGTTAAATTGTAATAAATATTATATTTTAATCTTTTAAAGTACGTATTTAAAATACTAATAAAATTGTGCTATATTTTTTTTAAGGCTTTTTTAGTATATTCTTGTGGAATTTTTGCCAATGCTGGTAACTACAAATCTTTTGGTGATAGTAAAATAATTCCTAACATATCCAAAGATAAATTTGAAACTTTGATAAAAAGTTCAAAGGCTTATAGGAATAATCCTAAAGATATTGAAGAAATTTGGAGTAAAATTAAAAATATAATATATAATATAAATGAAAAATTGAAATCATTGGGACTAGGTGAAAAGGGTGTCACTACTTATTTTTCTGCTAATTGCACAGAGAAAGATGCTGAATTGGTTAATGAGTTTAAGCAGAAGAAAGGATTGGAATCCTATAATGCAAGATGTTTTAAGACCACGAATGATATAGATACCTATGAAATCAGATTAGCTTCTATCGAGACACATGATGATCCGTGCATTACATTATCAGAAGAAATTTTTAAAAATGCTAAATACAAAATTACCAGAGGAGATTACAGCAAACTTTTGATTCCAGTTGTTGACAATCTCCAGAAGGCGAAAGAGTATGCTTCAAATGAAATTGAAAAAAATATGCTAAACAAATACATAGAACATTTTAAAACAGGATCTTTACAAGATCATAAAGATGGTTCTCGTTTTTGGATCAAGAATAAAGGACCAGTTGTAGAGACATATATAGGTTTTATTGAGACTTATAGAGATCCTGCAGGGCAGAGTGGAGAATTTGAAGGTTTTGTAGCTATGGTAAACAAGGAAATGTCTAAAAAATTTGCTACATTGGTGGCTAATGCAGAAAAATTTATACTAAAATTGCCTTGGGGGAAAGACTTTGAAAAAGATGAATTCTTAAGACCTGATTTTACTTCTTTAGATGTTCTAACATTCTCAGGATCAGGTATCCCCGCGGGTATAAATATTCCAAATTACGATGAAATTAGGCAATCCGAGGGATTTAAAAATGTTTCTTTGGGTAATGTAATTCCAGCAAATATGAAGTTAGATGTAATACCGTTCTTATCCGAACATGATCAAACTTTGATGAATACTTATAGAGTTGCAAGTTTTGAAGTACAAGTTGGTTTGCATGAACTTCTTGGTCATGGAACAGGAAAATTATTAAGGCAACTAGAATCTGGTTCATATAATTTTGATAATGGAAAAATGAAAAATCCTTTAACTGGAGAGTTAATAAATAAATTTTTTTTGCCGGGTGAAACATATGATTCAAAGTTTGGTGCAATGGGATCTTCTTATGAAGAATGTAGAGCTGAAGCAGTTGGACTTTACTTATCTTTAGAGAAAGAAATACTGAACATTTTTGGACATGAAGGTCCTGTAACAGATGATATAATATATGTAAATTGGTTATCCCTACTTTGGACTGGTTGTGCAAAAGCCTTAGAAATGTATCAACCATCTACAAAGAAATGGTTACAAGCTCATTCTCAAGCACGATATGTTTTACTTAGAGTCTGTATAGAAGCTGGCAATAATTTTGTTAGCATCGTAGAATCTGAGCCTGGAAAGAATCTATTGTTAACGGTTGATAGATCTAAAATTTTCACCGTTGGTAAAGAAGCAATTGGAAAGTTCTTAACTAAATTACAAGTTTATAAAAGCACAGGTGACATTGAAGCTGCCAAAGAAATGTATGAAAAATACAGTGATGTACCTGAAACAGGACCTTACCCATGGGCACGTTGGAGGGACATTATATTAGCTCATAAAGAGCCACGTAAAATATTTGTACAATCTAATACATTTATAAAAGGTAATAATTATGGCTATTGATAGTAAGATTTTATTATCTTAAGTCTTATTTTTGTACTAACTAAATTATGATACCAACAGATACAAATGAAGTACAACTAAAATGTTACAATCCCAATTTTGATGGATTGATACAATCTTGGATAGAAAGATTTCCTTCTCCGAACACCTCAGAAATTCTTATTGAGCTTTGGAAAAAGGATCAACAACATTTTGTACTTGAAAATTATTAGTTATCTAATATAAATACTTAATGAAGCTGTATATACATTTTTGTGTCATTTTTTTTTTCTTTTTATTTTGTATGTATGGTGCATATATGCGTGCTGTGCACGTGTGTTATATACAAGTAATATATGTATGAAAGCATACATATTTTACCAAAAGTTACTGATATATTACTTTCATTTACTTTAAAGGCATAAAAATGTTGCAAATAATAAATTTACTTTTTTTACATATAAAAATACGTTCTTTACATTTATGTGATATAAATTCCATACAAATTAATTTAAATATGGGTGTAGGAGTACAATGATCTGGAGTTCTTAAAATACGCATTCAAACATTTTATTCTTATAGCATGAATGCATGTATATGCATACACTACGTACTTATATCTAAAATCATGCATAAACATATATTATTATACATTATTACACATAACATTCCACGAAAAAAATTTAGCGATCAGATATCGAGAATTCGTTGTTTCTACGCAAGTTTACGCTTTTAATTCTATCCACGTTAGAATTTATGGTAATGCGCATGCGTTATTACGATTATCGTTACATCGAATATATATACTTAGCAGTCAAAGTGTTCTATGTTTTTTAATTTTGCTGTGACAATATATCTCGTCAATGAGGCGAAATACTTTTTGTTTAATATTTACACATTTTACGAAGATATTAAAAAATTGATGTATAATAGTTTTTTACTTTATATATTTATCACATTATTATCGTCAATTTTCATTGTTCGATTATTTTTTTTTCACCATGTATATGATCATAATACAAGCAAACTGTAGAGAAGTATCACGTTCGGGTATAGGAATCTCTCTAGGCTAGGGACATATATAAATCATCGATAATAGTTTTTTTGTATTTTCTTGTGAAACAGAGCATAAGAGCAAGATTAATTTTTACATATCGTCGGTGATAATACTTCATTTGGAATAACAATTGGAATAAAAAAAATAGGATTCCCAAATATTGTATCTTTCATTTCCCTCGTATATGTGTTATCTCTACTTCTTTGTACAACAGTTTGCACTTCAGAGATCAATTGTTATTATATAGTTCAAATATTCTCTCGCAGAGTGCGTTAATTACTATTTCATTCGTAAAATATATTTTATATACTATGCGCAGAAGCGAACAGTAGCGGATGCATTGCGCATGTTCTTTTACTTGTTGGATTGGCGGGAAAAACCTGAGAACGTAGTTGACGTAGCAAAATGGTGTCGGAAGAGTCGTTAATTTCGTGTTTCTGTAATTTAGGTTGTGATGTTCCACATGAATTGGTTGTTGAAAAATGTAAGTTATATGTTAATCTACAACGTAAAATTAATTTAATAATATTTGTAATGTTTATATATCTATTGATTTATATTGTTAATCAGAAGTCATTATAAGAATTCATCTATTTAAACATATTTCTTATGCCTGATAACTTTTGATAGCTGTTTACATTGATATATATATACAGTTATAAATATAATACATATTTAAAAAATTAATAATACTTATATTTTATAATTCTACCCTAATACGTTGTATTGTTTTAAGTCAGTAGATATTTACAAAAATGTTTTTAACCAGGTCTTCAACTTTGTCGAACATATGACATGGAGGAAGAAACATTTGTGGATTTATGGGTTGCATATGCAGTTCCACATTCTTTAGATATTAATCCAACAATTGATGATCTTAATAAAATGGAAAAAGAGGAACTACAAAAAAACAAGAAAGATCTGTGTAATATGAAAACAACTACAACATTTGATACGCAAGATAATGTAAGAATTAATCAAGAAATTACGTATCCTTTAACATATTCTTATAAAAGTTTGATGTAACAAAATTGAATTTATTTTATTTCTACATATTTTCTTTACATGTATTTGATACATATTATCATAATAGTAACAATGTTTTGGATATATATACCACTGGAGAATGTTCTACATCAAAGGTAAGTTTTTATTTTATTTGATTTTTGTTTTATCAATTGGCACTCTTTTATATACAAAAATAGCGAATACAACCTTATTTTATATTTCTTTGTTCCTATATACAAGTTAGATTAAACAAAATCGCGTAAACGTTTTGTATTTTTCGTCGAAACGTACATATTGTCGTTCGTCCACGGCTACTTCGATGATTTCAAATTTTGTTCCTGTCTTCCTTGTTTTCTTTTTTTTCTCTCTTTCTTCCTTTTTTCTTTCTTCCTTCCTTCCTTTCTTCCTTCCTTCCTTTAAGAGGTGGGGGGAAATCTTCATCCCTGTAATCGTCTTTCACCATTGTTGCCAGATTTATAAAATTAGTTTTTATAAACATTGCAATTAAAATTCGCGCAACACAGAATTTTTATACATAACTGTTTTTTACAATTTAAAATTTTACAAAGAAATGGTAATTTTAGATAAACAATAATGCTTGCATCTACAATATCGTATAACATCTGCGTACGAATTTTTCGTAAATAATCATAAAAATTATTAAGTTTAAATAATCGACATAAGAATTTTCTAAAATCGTGTTGCATTATATTAATAGAAAGATACCTTTTATGTCAAACCTCAACCTTGGCATTGCAATGATATACATCGCATTGGCAACACTGTCTCGCATTCTTTATGGTCGATTTGTGGTCTATAGTAGCAATGACGTAAGATTTACCTGTAGATTTATTCTTAATAAAATTGAACTTTGTACAACAGAAAACTCTAATAACAAATTACGGAACAATTTGGAAGCTTATTTAATAACATCGTAAAGCAACACACAAATACATCGTATTGCTAATTTCCCGTTGAAAAAATTACACAAATTATATTTATTAATATAGAATTATTTATTCTGGATAGTATAAATTCATACGTGTTCTTACAATTTTTAGATTTTGCTTCGAAACATTTTTAAAAAAATATTTTATGAATGAAAAATAATGATTTCTTTAAATGATCTAAAAAATCAATTCAACATGCATACGGAATACTCGAACTGTAATAATTCTGCGAAATTATGGAATATACTTCTTTAAAGGAAGAGAAAAATTCATGTTTAAAATTTGAAGTGTTTTAAGCTTGTATACTTTTAAATTTGAAAATTTTCAAATACGTGTTTAACAGTTGTGCATTTTATTTAAATCGAAATTAAGAAATCAAGTAATCAGTACGAGTACTTAAAAATCTTATGTCATAGTGACAAAATCAGTACAGATGGTTACTAGATACAAAATAAAAATACTATGTTATACGTTATACTTGCTATTGACGGCGAACAGTTATGATACGAAGTGAAATTTCCAATGCTATTTCCCGGCAGGTGGTTTCTTATTCTGAGATGAAACGTCGTCGTGTATAGGATCTTGTCGGGGCACCGTAATTCCCGCCACAAAAATCGTCCAGGTAGATCGCCGCCATTATCCCCTCTTTCGTTCCTTCCCACTCTCTTACAAAGGACACTTTCGTGGAGGGGAATTCATTGCTATTGGTAGAAAAAGGATAGTATGCCTGTTCGTATCGGGTAGAGAGGGATTCTTCCCATCTAAAGAGAGCTGACCAGATTTCTTCAAAGGGTACGATTTCAGTTTTCAAGGACCCAGACTCCATTATCATCCTGATGCGCGCGTGCTTTAGATCTTTTACGAACAAAGCATTATTTCTTCGTTGTCCCTTTACGTATAATTTGTACGTTATATTAATATTTATTTCATAGTTGTTCGTTTAATCGTTTGTGTGAATTTAATTATTAATTGTATTTTTAAAAAATAATTAAATACTTGAATATCTCGATGGCGTCGAGTCAACGACGCCACCGACTGTCAGCGCGTCACGCGGATTCGGAGTGTATTATTCAGTGATTCGCCGGCCTCTCGTGTGGATTTTACATTCTGTACTCGTAAGCCGTTAACCGTGGATATTCTGTCGTTGTGAAGTAAGCAAATGATTTTTAATAGTATCGCATCGAGTGAATGATGTGCATTCGATCTTTAAAACGGTCGAGTCGAAGCGTCGGCCATTATGGAATTTGGTTCGAGTGTATTTCATACTCGAAAGTCATTCCGCCAATCGTAAGAGCGCTTTGCATTGCAACGACCTGTTGCTGTTTCTACTCTACCTATTATTGTTTGTTTAAATTGTCCATATCTTTTGTTTTAATCTGTTCTATTCTGTTTTGCTCTGTTCCTATTGTGTTACGTTAGATCAATTTTACTAGAGACAAAATAAATTTGTTTCTTCCATATTTCTTATTCGATTTATCATCGGATACTATTATAAGGAACGCGTGATAAATGTATTTACTAATATTAGGAAACTTTACGGATAACCTTGTCCGTGCGTTGATACACGATTTGCGTGTATAACAAGAGAATAGTATTGTGTATATGTACGAGAAAGGCATGAAAAAAGGAAGATCTTTCGTATAGCTGTGTGCGCGCATGCGAATGTCGTCGACCGTTCGTCGAGTCCTGAGCGTCGCGTCGCTCTACAACCTGTTGCTGCGACTACGTCGCATGTTTTCTTTCGATGCCGCGAGTAACTTTTAGTCTTTTTTTGTGTTTTATGAACTTTTCTTGAAAAGTAACTTTTGCTCTTGAATATATTTAAGGCATTATATGATCAGCTTCTTTCTTATTTTTTTCTCTTCTTAAATTTCTTTTTATATACTTATTATGCGTATATGTACATGCTGTGCACGAATAATCCGTTCGCGCTTATTGTATTTTAAATACGATTCGTTGTGATCGACGTGAGTTTCAACATTATCCGAATTGTTAACATGTTTCAAATCTGGATCTAATACCACTCATAATTACCTATAACTATTTTTAATACTACTATTGACAATATTAACGATCTTTAAGAAGAAATAAAAGAAAAAAAAGAACTAGCTTATTGCCTTGGTGTTCAACGTATTATTAAGTTATTAAATTATTATAGAATTTTAGCTTTCTTAAGTAGTACAGGCTTGAAAGATCGGTTCCTTAGGGAGTTGCTCACATCTACCAATTAAGTACAATTGACCAACAACTGACAGTCCGATCTCCTTCCTCTCTTTGCTCTAATTTTGTACTCGTTTGCGTGTTCTTTCGTTCCACGCGGTAAGTGAGAAATTTGAAATACCTATAAACAAAAAGAAAACCGGATTCTCGTGTTCAAAAGTGAATAGAATAGCAAGAGATTTTGTGGCGTGCTACAACTGTATCTGGTAAAAGCTTCACGTTATTTCCCACGGTATCTCTGCGAAACAGTGGGGCGAAAGATTGCCAGGGGCGGATAGTTTGCGGAGAGAGGGATAGAAGGAGAAATAGTCTCCTGTCTCTGTGTGTATTCACCAGGATGGGAGGGGGAAAGAGGACAGCTCTCGGTGATCGACCTAAAGTTTTACACAATCTGGTACAGCAAGTATCGTTCGAATGAGTTTGTATCTCTTAATGTGTAACAGTATTCCGTTTATATAACCCATATTCTGCAATTACAGTTTAACATCAATTGATTAACGTCTTCTTTTTCTTAGGAAATTTCTTAATATTCTAATATTATACAGAATTGTTAAACTACTTTCGAAGATGGTAGCTTTTTTCGCGATCCATTCCCTCTAAATTTCAAATACCGAAGGACTCAATGTTCTGAAATTTCGAAAACGTACCGAGAAGTTAACGCAAAGAAAATTGGTTTTAACCTTAATATAAGAGCATCGAACGCAAACTATAAGAAATAGCCTGAACTTGATTGAAATAATACGTAATAAAGCAAGTGCCACGAACGGTCAGGTTAACAACAATTAACCCTTCTCGTTATCTTGGCTCTTGAACACATGTCTGCCATGTAACTACTTACTTTTCTTTACTGCGTAATGTTATGAGTTTCAAATCGATTGTTTACCGTTTATTTACTTAAACCATCGATGATCGAAATATCCGACAACATATACAAGAGCGTATACACGAGGAAAACGAGAATTATTTCCTGGATTTGCCAAATGAGTGAAGGTCTAGTGCACATATGATCAAATTGTGACTAGATCCCCACTCATTAAGCACGTTTGGGTTTAAGCATCGCAATCTCGTTAGGAAGGTTATGAAAATGATCTTCTCTGTGTTGGCGCGAAAACGTGTACCGTTTCAAATAATTAATCATATGACCGGGAGCGATATCAAACAGATAATTCCATAGACGAGTATGAATGTGGTGCACGTTTTACTTTGTTTCGTGACTAGATACATACTCGTCTACGGTGGTCTGTTCTTCTCTCGGTATATATTGTAAATTTTATACGAATAATAAATACGTCGATGTCGTACTTGTCGCAGAATTTATTTCATTAATATCGTATATTTTATTCTCTGTACTTTTTTCAAGCAGAATAAGCGAGTAAGGAGTCCGACGGCGGAACATGAGAATGATACTAAAATTCGAGCAGTGGATCAAGTGTTTACGCCATCGACTTATACTACCAACGTGTAAGCAATTTGTTTAAAATTATTGTTTGTGGAAGTAGAATAATAAAATACAATTTGATCGCGTATAATAATCATTTTATATTTATTTCCAGAAGCGTACCCAGTCGTGCACCAAGTTCAGCTATCAGAGGCAAAGTTCTATTGCTTTTTGGTCCAGATGTGAAGTCTTGGAGTAAGCAAATCCAACAGGATATATCCATTGTTAAAGCGCATCATTCCCATATACCTAAAGATGTGGTATACATGTTTGAAATGCTTTCTACACAAGCGACTGTTCTAACTATTAACTGTTTAAATTTTGGCGAACGACTGTGCCATATTTGGAACGAGACAATGGGATCTACCAAGCCTAATGTACGTTATGTGAGAAATGTTGCATCCATGAGTCAAACACCGTTTAGAACGTGGGGTAAAATATTGACCATGTTCGATAAATCGGTTGAGAGTAAAATTGTGATGTTGGAAGGCTGTAAAAGATGTAAAGGCGAAAAGAACGCTCCTGTCATGCGCTTAGATCTTAGTGGTATTAAATATTACTCGGTTTTTCCGGGTCAAATACTGGCAGTGGAAGCTATAAACACAAGTGGAAACACTTTAGTAGTAAAAGAATTATTTGTCAAGGGTCATGCACCGTTAGCCAGTGTACCAAACTTATTGAAAGATTTAAGAATATATGTTGCCGTTGGCCCGTTCACGGCTTCTAATAATTTGAACTATCAACCATTATGGGATCTTATGGAACGTGTTTCGGAAGAAGAACCGAATGTTTTGATATTGGTTGGACCTTTTATAGAATACACGCATCCTGAAATAAAAAAGTGTACTCTGAAAGATACTTATCAAGAATTTTTTGATAAAATCTTAGCAAGAATTACACAATGCTTGCAGGGGTACGTTGTTTCTTATTTTTATAGTGGACGTAGCCAACAGGAATATTTCTTCTCTCACCTTTTCCCTCTGAGAAAAGAATTATCTTTAAGAAAACGTTTGTACGTTCTGTATGTTTTTATTATTAGCTTTATCATCTCGGTTTTCTGATTTCACAATTTTTATGAATATATACATATATATTTCGTATACGAAAATGAATTGAAAATCCGTTTGAAGTAATACACTGAAATTTACATTAAAATAAATGCTGCTTCACTGTCGATCGACAACTTAGTTACGTCCATATTTTTATATTTCATTAAGTTTTCACAAATTATTAGTGACAAGTTTATTTTAACGTAGAAAGGATACTCATGTTGTATTGGTACCTTCCAATCGTGATGTGCATCATGATCCGGTTTATCCAACACCAGAATTTATTCTAAATACACACAGAATCGGATCAAATATGGCGAACGTTTACTCTATGCCAGATCCATGTATCATAAGCGTGGAAGGTTTAAAAATCGGGATCACTTCTGTGGATGTTCTCAGACATCTCGGACAGCATGAAGTATCGTAAGTGTGCTAATAATTAAAATACGTAAAATTAATTTTAACCTAAGATATTTTTAGGAACATGTCGGGAATGGATAGAGTAGGTCGTTTAGCCGATCACGTATTGTCTCAGGCGACGTTTTATCCTTTACATCCAGCTCCCTCGGGTTTGAATTGCGATTCGACGCTTTTGAAAAAATATGCTTGCTTTAAACGTCAACCGCATATCATGATTTTACCTTCTGATATTAAATACTATTGTAAACCAATTAACGAATCTCTCATTTTGAATCCTGAAAGGCTACAAAAATACACCTATGCTAAATTGTATATACGACCGATAGATAATGGCAAGTGGAATCCAAACAATGTATCTTGCGAGATCGCAAAAGTCTGATCGTTTTATTACGGGAAAAAAACTATTTTAGACATTGGAATGTTAAAATGAATATATATCAATTACAGGTTTGTAGGAAATATTTTGTTTAACAATGAAGTATTTCTGTTGTGTACTCCTGGATGGAGCTAGATCAACGATCCTTCTATGTATGTATATTTAAATGTCAGAGTATTCCTTGATTACTGTATCCGTAGATTCGACGAATCTTGCATCGCTAGATTCGTAGAAAACTAATAACGTAAATAAAAACAGATTGTTACATGACTCGTGTTTTGTAGTTTTTGAATCTTGGAAAACTTGTATTTGTTTTTTTATTTCATGTACGACTGCATCGGGAACTCGAGTTGTTATAAAAGTTAACTTGTTCTTTATCCGTTAGAGGTTAGCACTTGTTGCATTTGAAAGTTACAAGTTTGGTCCATGCAATAAACGCGCGATGGCGCCACGCGCACAACAATCGAAGTCCTCGAGTTTTCTGCTTCTAGCGAGTTGTGGAATCGGCCATTGCTCCAATATTTTTCTTGTGATCGAATATGTTAAATGTCCGATGGAGATAAAAAATCATATACGAGTTTTACGGTAAGTCGTTTAATCCTGTTTCATATTTGTCAGTGTTTCTCGTATCTGTTTGCTGTATTCGAAATAATCGAGTATCAACGATCTGCCAAATTTTATTCCGCCATCTTTGTTACAAATTCGTTTACATCTCACTGTGTGTTATGTTCCTTGAAATTATTTTATATTTTGGATATCATTGTTGGATTAGCATTAATTGTCGATCTACATTTATGACACCAGTTGTAATTAAATAAGTTGCTTTTTCGAAATTACCATATAATATTGAAATTTGCTTCGCGGGTTTCACAACTCTGTTATGGCCTTGGTTTTTTCGTCCAAAAAAACGGGAGTTATGAAATCAAGCATGTGACGATAAATAAGAATGCGATGTTTAATTCTATACAATGTTCTTAATTTAATATCTATTACAACTTAATTGTCCCATGGTACAGTATCTTTTTATCTATGGGTATTATTTAAATTAATTATAAATTTATTGATTTAGCCATTATATTTACACAAAGAAATTGCATTTTATTCGTAAGAAATTCTTGGAGAAAAATTAATACGAACTTGAAACAAATGAATATATTACTAAAGTATATGTTTAAGGTAAGAAAAAAGTGTAAGTAACATGATTAGTTAATGCAGTTTTTCAAGCATGTTACATCATTTTCATACAAATTTTAATTGTTATAGAATATATTAATGCATATAACAACGGAGCGTGTTAATTTATACATACTAAATATTATTGATTTAAACTTGGTTTCTTTTTTTTACAATATTTTTCACGATGATTTTCACCGTGGACACTATACGAGTATGTAGAACTTGATATATCGCGGTATTAAAAAATAAAAAGCACACTTTAATAATTTAAACGGTAAAAATATTACCGACGAGTGAAAATATCAATTTCGATATTACCGGCGGTGAATATTTCTTCCTTAAAAATTAATCGCACGTTTAAAGATGTACATAAATTCGAGGTTGAGTTCGGAAAAAATTGGATAAAATCGGTATTTTGCTTATGCGCGAATGCTTGAAATTTGAAAATTTTTCGAAAGTTTGTAGCGACACGATACGTGGCTATATAACGCGCGATGGTTCGACGCATAGCTATTTAACGCGTGGCAAATATACATAATATGTAATTCCGAAGATTCTCAATACGGGCGTAGTCAGAAAAAGGGAAAAGGTTAGATTTTAATCTCCCTCTTTTAAATAAAAAAGCTTAAATTACAACTGTTAATAATTTATTATTGATATTTCGCGTATAAAAATAAATAAAATCTACTTAAAATTATATCATAAAATTAATGTTAATTCTGGGCCGCTGTTGTTTCTATGTAGGAAGATAATTTCAAGTTTTCGACCGATCCTTTTGCTTTTTCTTATTCGACGCTTTGCTGTAATTTTGCACTTACATTATTCAATTATAATTAATTGAAGTTTTTATGTACGATGATAAAAAATATTCCGACTAATTTATAACTAATTATAAATTATTTAAATCGAATATTCATTTAACGTCGAAGCTGTGAAATGTGCGCAAAGCACCATCCAGACACGACACAGATACACATATTGAGAACACGAGAAAGCGAGAGTGCCATATCGATCCGGCTAGTTTGTTGTCTACCTACCTCAACCCTGGTTATATGTACATACTTTATAACTGGTTGGTTCCATTGGCACAGGTCCCGTTATTTTTTCAACGGCGGGTCAAATTTTTGAGGAAATATTTTTGCTTCGTACACAAATATACTTCTTTTCCTTTTGTTACAGTTGTTTTTTTCTTTTCGATTTTACGCATTTCAAGTTGTACAATTATGTTTCGAACAGAAACGAAAAATAGGTTATTGGAAATCTCGTGCAATTAGGACGATATCATGCACAATTATTTGATTATCTCGGTTATTTTTATCATCGAGCGCGGAAGAAAAGTATCGACAATACATAACCGTATGATCGTGTAATAATATCTATTAGAGATGACCGTTCCAAACAGTTATCGAACAATAGTTTGATCAAAGCGTTTTATAAATTATTCCTCATAAAAATATTCAGAATGTTTATTGAATGTTTCAACGGTACTACATCATGCTACAAATGTATAAACGTAGTTTTCGCTTTCCTAACAAACATTGGCGTAACTGGATAGGGGCGGTAGTGAACTTGGCTCCTCCTACCAGAAATCTCTGGAATCGGTAAAAACATTCATTAACGTACAATCTTCTTTTTTAATATAATTAATTTTCGCATCAGCTGGCGACGCGTAACGTTTTACCAATGTCACTATCGCATATATGTATAAAACTAAATTATATTAGAATATAAATTTAAAATAATAACGATTCAGAAGTAAAATCAGAAAGGATGAAATAGGAGGGTTAAAGGCATAGATAAACAATTTTCATTTCGAGTGATATGGAACGACGAAAAATAGTAGATCGGGCACATCGGACAGAAGTAGAATGCAGTTACGAAGCATATTCAAGGATCGACCAATTGGTGGCGTAGTAAGGTAGTATCGCGACAACGGTACGAAAATTCTAGTCTACGCCGGTGGGCTGTTTTGGGCGGGCAACGGCTGTGCGCAAAAACGGCGGCAGTCAAGTTCAAGGCCATCGACTGCCTTTTCCCACTCCCTCCCCTCGTTGGCGAACCGCAGAACCGCCGCCTCCAGTGGCACCGCCACCATCACGACCACTACCATTACCGTCATCGCCGCCTCCACCGCCGTCATCGTCATCGTCGTAGTCGTAGTCGTAGTAGCCGTCGTCGTCGTCGTCGTCGTTGCCACTGGCACTACTGCCACCGCCGTCGCCGCACTGTCGTCGCTCTGCTGTCGCAGCCACAGCCGTCTCCCACCCACTTACCCTTCCATCGCGATATACACGTAGCACGCATAACGACAGTAGCGTATCAAGTTTGGAGCAACCGTTGGACCGGTCCGATTATAGGGGCAAAGGGAGAGTTTTGGGGCTCGATCGATCTACCTACGTCTGAAAATACAATTGTCTCGTACGTACGCGTAACGCAACGCTGTTTCAAGCGTTCCTCTTTCGTTTACGTTTCTGATACGCGGGCACACGTGTTCCAATTGGGACTTTCGAAACGCGATTCAACATTAAGACCGCTTGTTTGTTTATGATTTACAAAGATCGTAAGAGAAACTCGATTGTACGGAAGATCATGTCTTGTTACAAATTGACTCGAGGCCAGGAGTTAATGACCCAGTGGTCATGACTATGATAATGTCCACTACGACACCGCGTACTTGAACGACACGGTAATAGTTACGATTTAAAGTGAACTAGTCTCTTTGTTGAATATAATTGTCTATGTTTAAAAATGCAACGATTTATGGGAGATTTCTATATACTTTGAACGATCATATTCATTCATTTCCTTAAGGTATCGATATAGCGTACTTTTGAAACGTAAACGATAGAACAGGATCACTAATATCGAGTCGAATTTCGGGAGTGGTAACATTTGAAAATTTTACGTGGGAACGAAGAAACGCGTTGAAAATTTTCTAATTGTTTGTAACTTTTTCGAAGTGCGATGACTTGGAGAGTTCATATTATAAGTGAGTGATTTTTGAAAGTGGAGTGAAAAGTCAGAAAAGTTTGGTAACTCTCGCTTTAAATTTTAAAGGTTATTCAATAATTACAAAGTGGAACGATTCTTTTCTTTTCTAAAAATCAATTTCTGTAAAGTTAAAGCCTAACTTTTAGCTTGGTCATAATTTGGCCACGAAATAAACGTAGATAAGGTGTGCAATTAAGCGTAAGAAATGTGTTTGGTGGATTCGTGGCGACCGGTGTTAGGATCGGCTGGCTCCGTGTATTACTGTACCCTGTATATTGCTGTCAGTCGCGTACGGCTCGCACTTACCCTTCCATCGCGATATACACGTAGCACGCATAACGACAGTAGCGTATCAAGTTTGGAGCAACCGTTGGACCGGTCCGATTATAGGGGCAAAGGGAGAGTTTTGGGGCTCGATCGATCTACCTACGTCTGAAAATACAATTGTCTCGTACGTACGCGTAACGCAACGCTGTTTCAAGCGTTCCTCTTTCGTTTACGTTTCTGATACGCGGGCACACGTGTTCCAATTGGGACTTTCGAAACGCGATTCAACATTAAGACCGCTTGTTTGTTTATGATTTACAAAGATCGTAAGAGAAACTCGATTGTACGGAAGATCATGTCTTGTTACAAATTGACTCGAGGCCAGGAGTTAATGACCCAGTGGTCATGACTATGATAATGTCCACTACGACACCGCGTACTTGAACGACACGGTAATAGTTACGATTTAAAGTGAACTAGTCTCTTTGTTGAATATAATTGTCTATGTTTAAAAATGCAACGATTTATGGGAGATTTCTATATACTTTGAACGATCATATTCATTCATTTCCTTAAGGTATCGATATAGCGTACTTTTGAAACGTAAACGATAGAACAGGATCACTAATATCGAGTCGAATTTCGGGAGTGGTAACATTTGAAAATTTTACGTGGGAACGAAGAAACGCGTTGAAAATTTTCTAATTGTTTGTAACTTTTTCGAAGTGCGATGACTTGGAGAGTTCATATTATAAGTGAGTGATTTTTGAAAGTGGAGTGAAAAGTCAGAAAAGTTTGGTAACTCTCGCTTTAAATTTTAAAGGTTATTCAATAATTACAAAGTGGAACGATTCTTTTCTTTTCTAAAAATCAATTTCTGTAAAGTTAAAGCCTAACTTTTAGCTTGGTCATAATTTGGCCACGAAATAAACGTAGATAAGGTGTGCAATTAAGCGTAAGAAATGTGTTTGGTGGATTCGTGGCGACCGGTGTTAGGATCGGCTGGCTCCGTGTATTACTGTACCCTGTATATTGCTGTCAGTCGCGTACGGCTCGTCGCGTCGTCAACGTCGTGGAAGGGGGTGGTGCGTTCGTGTATGCGCGTGTCTTAACCACGAATATACATGAGTGACCGGATCTTCGGCTCGGTGTTCATTTTCCCTTTCTCGCTGCGGAAAAGCGTGAGAAATATAAACACGGTGTTTGCGTGCCATTGAAAAGAAAGCAATTGACAGTCATGGAGGCCTGGATGTACGACGTGGTAGGTGCCTGGGACACATAACCTCTCTGTTTCTTCTTCTTCGATCTCGTGGGTTTGTTTACGTTGCTGCGCGCGCGTTTCTCCCTGCTTTCCGTTGGTTTTTCGATCGAATATGCATGTGCCGGCAACAATTTCGACCGATGGAAAATCGAAAGCATTTTAACGCGTATCTTTCGTTTACGTTTAGAAGAATGATCGAGTCGAAGAAATGAATAATTTGATGAAATTGAAAAGGTTCGCGCATGCGTTACTTTCGTTTCGACACTTTAATCGTGCATAAAGGTTTAACGCCAGCGTATTCGTAGTTTTCGATAGAAAAAGAATCGGTAGGTATTAACTTCGTTCGCGTACCGTGTCACTCAGCTTTAACGACAACTCGGTTATTACGTTACGACGTGTCTGTTAGGTAATCTATCCTGTAACTCACCGATCATTTTTCTACGTCTGCCGGTTTTTAATGCACCCGACAATTCGCGATCGGTTCGATTCGTTATTTTTCTTTTCTTATCCCTTGTGTAGGCGATCGAACGAGATCGTTTCTATGTTTCCTTTAATTTTCGCTGGAGCAGAATTTTTGCCGATTCAACGTATCATTTACAATTCAAATTTAGTTTTAATTTTCAATTCGTTTTCATTCATTTCGTTCTTCGTTTAAATCCGAAGCGATATCCGTAATATTCGAGATATTTGTCGAAATATTTGACACGCTTCATTTACGTATGTGTGTCATGTGCTACGTATAAGGGACACGGATATGAAAAAGCTGTTTGTTTTGATGACAGTGGGATATACATGTATGTATAGGCAAACAGAGCGATCGAAGGCAAAAAACTTGAACGAAATACTTTTAATATTTTTATCGTACGTAATTGTTATTTCGGTATGTGTACCAGCGATACAAATTTCATTATTTAATCCCCTTAAAATAACATCGATCGATTAACGATAATTGATACAATAAATGATTTTCGATAATGGATCGAATAGAAATTAACTGGTCTACTCGTTCGTATTTCATTTGGAAGAGATTTTCCAAACGCGTCCGGTTGCCGCGTGCTGTTGTGTTCTACTTCATAATAAAGTATAGCGAAATAACGAATAGAATAGGAAAATTAAACTGAATTACATATACGTTATATACGTGGTATATGTATATATGTAGATATTTTTTAAAGAAGCATACTATTAAGTAGTAAGTTTGTAAATTGTTCGTACGAAAATTAGAGGAAAATGTGGTTTACCGTTAAAACTTACGAGTTAGGAGGTTTTCTAATTAGGCCGACAATACGATAATCGCGTAATAGCACATTTGGTGGTTCGTATGCATGGTGTCTGTCTGATTGAACGCGTTAAAGTGCCCTCGCGCACAGGAACGGCTACGCGATCCTAGTCTTATGCAATTCCGCGTGTACGAGATGCAAAATCATGGAATCGTCTCTCTTTATTTTCGATTTGACTCGGTAAATAATTTCATCGGTATAAACATTCGCGAAACTGTTATCGACGCGTTTTGGAAATCGATCGATGTCAGTGTCGATAAAAGGCCGTGCCTGTTTCTTCGAAACAAATACCATCGAGTTTTATCGCTGGTTATTACGCGCGCGTAATTATCCTAACGAAACGCAAATATCCCTATATAGAGCAGTTAGAGCAGGGATAAACCATTGGATAGTTAATGGTAAGAAGAAGAAGCACACACGCGTAAGTAGGTATATATTCGTCGCGTGGATGCGTCAGTCGATATTTCCAGACTCTCTCGCCTCTCTCGCGTTACCTTGGGAGAAAAAGTTTTCGAACAGTTTCGACTTTTTTAGCGCACGCTCGCGATACTCGGATGTTTAATATATCCGTAGTATGATCTGGGTTAGGTTAGGGTGAAACGCGCGCGTATCTTTTCAGAGTTGTTTTTTTCGTAGTCTTGTTACGGCTACGAAATTGAATCTCCCCGAGCCGATACCTTTCATCGCCGACAGAAATATCGTTACGTAGAAATTATTACGCGTTATAATCTAGGAGAACTAATACTTGTCCACGTTTCGTAGTTTCGAAGATCAGAAGAGTATTTTTGAAAAAGGAAACGGAACACTAGAGCAGCTCTGCGATCGAGTAGCATCACGAAGGCCGCGTTTGCAGGTAGAAGCGCGCTCACGGTACACGTACAGTACTTACGTACGTGTATGTACGCTCGTAGCGAAGACCTTGCGCGTCGCTTCTTAATTCCCTCTCTCTCTCTCTCTCTCTCTCGTTCGGTCTTTTAGGCATCTCTGTGCATGCTGTGAAATTGCGCGGATATCTAGGTACACGCGCGCATTCGTCCGCGTGTTAACTCCGCGCATGCATGCTCGCTCGCATGCACGGATAAAGAGGAGTTTGTGTGGCGGTCGGTAAGCTTTTGCGGTGGAATACGCGCGTTTGCGGTTAGGATATTCGATTTCTTAGGTTTTCGCTTAGATTTTTTTTCGCTCCAGAAAGACGAAACATCTCCGTAAGTGTCTATGGACAATATGCTTTTTCGTCTCCTTTCAATACGTTTCCTTTTATCGGGGAATCACCTGGACAGAAGCAATATCCAGATAATTACAGCGAGTCTAATGGGATTACAAAGACATATTATTTATCGGTATTATTGTAGCAAACTACAAATTTATAGTTACGGTAGGTGGAGTTTGCTCCGGTGAAAAAGAAATGGAGAGTCAATGTCAATGTATGATCGGTCGGCCTCTTATCTAACGACAGAGAAGACGGTCGGGGATGTCTGTAGACACCGTAGACCGTGTCAGGCTCTCGACACTGTTGCCATTGCAGATTAGCGTAGACCGTAAAGACTCCGTAGACAAGAGATCGATCTTCGCGAATCGCGTTGTCCGTTTCGATAAGGAACATACAGGTTTTCGAAACGTACGGCTGGGGGAACCGTTCAAGTTTCGGGCTACGAGAGCGAGACACGTCGGTGACGTCATCTTGAGAATCGAGTCGGACGCCAGCCCTAACCACGTAGAAATTATTACGCGTTATAATCTAGGAGAACTAATACTTGTCCACGTTTCGTAGTTTCGAAGATCAGAAGAGTATTTTTGAAAAAGGAAACGGAACACTAGAGCAGCTCTGCGATCGAGTAGCATCACGAAGGCCGCGTTTGCAGGTAGAAGCGCGCTCACGGTACACGTACAGTACTTACGTACGTGTATGTACGCTCGTAGCGAAGACCTTGCGCGTCGCTTCTTAATTCCCTCTCTCTCTCTCTCTCTCTCTCGTTCGGTCTTTTAGGCATCTCTGTGCATGCTGTGAAATTGCGCGGATATCTAGGTACACGCGCGCATTCGTCCGCGTGTTAACTCCGCGCATGCATGCTCGCTCGCATGCACGGATAAAGAGGAGTTTGTGTGGCGGTCGGTAAGCTTTTGCGGTGGAATACGCGCGTTTGCGGTTAGGATATTCGATTTCTTAGGTTTTCGCTTAGATTTTTTTTCGCTCCAGAAAGACGAAACATCTCCGTAAGTGTCTATGGACAATATGCTTTTTCGTCTCCTTTCAATACGTTTCCTTTTATCGGGGAATCACCTGGACAGAAGCAATATCCAGATAATTACAGCGAGTCTAATGGGATTACAAAGACATATTATTTATCGGTATTATTGTAGCAAACTACAAATTTATAGTTACGGTAGGTGGAGTTTGCTCCGGTGAAAAAGAAATGGAGAGTCAATGTCAATGTATGATCGGTCGGCCTCTTATCTAACGACAGAGAAGACGGTCGGGGATGTCTGTAGACACCGTAGACCGTGTCAGGCTCTCGACACTGTTGCCATTGCAGATTAGCGTAGACCGTAAAGACTCCGTAGACAAGAGATCGATCTTCGCGAATCGCGTTGTCCGTTTCGATAAGGAACATACAGGTTTTCGAAACGTACGGCTGGGGGAACCGTTCAAGTTTCGGGCTACGAGAGCGAGACACGTCGGTGACGTCATCTTGAGAATCGAGTCGGACGCCAGCCCTAACCTTGGCCAACACACGCGCCGACACGCGACAGACGAAATTCTTTTACGCGCGATTTTTGCTTCAAAAAAATATCTAATATATATAGCGAAATAAACAAATGAATAGAATATTATTAAAATGGGTAATATGAATACCGCCGAAAATAAAATTTGTCCAAGTTATACACGCTGATTACTGTAGCGGTAATGCGATTTATACGCGGACATTCTCGTAAAACTAACGAGCCGAAATTCGTGATAATTAACAAAAGTGTAAACCATCTCCGAGTTAGATCGGATATATATTACACGATAATCGTTGTAATAACGTTATTACGCTGATTCGTTATATTGCATCTTTTATTGGATAAACTTGTCGCAAAATCGGAACATAGCGGTTACCGAAGCTTTGGCCTTGACCGCGACCCAGGGTCTTCATCCTCGGGAAATCAATTTGTTCTCTGAACTTCTAATTTAGTAACCACCTACATACGTACACTCGTATAACGTCGCAAGTTTGCGACTACTGTAATAATTCAGGGTCATCGCGATCGACTTGTTGCGAAATCATGGTCACGGTAAACGTGCCGCCGCGATATTTCTTTTCCTTTTATCGAAAACTTGTTCGTGGAACGTAAATATACGTTGAAAGGAAAGAAAGAAAAAACGTGCCGTTCTCTAACTCGACACGTTAGCGGAGTTAGGCTGCGTCTAAACTAAGTGGCCAAACGATGCTTCTTCCTCCGATTTTCTTTCGCTTCGCTTCGCGATTCGACGCCAATTAATTTCCTGCGTTTCGATTCGTCGTGATTCGGTTGTACGCGATTCGATTCGATACGATTGTAATTTCGATTCGTCGCGAATTTAATTGGACTTGGATTCGACGCGATTACGGGGTTGGACTTGTTCCGATTCCCGATACGATTTAATTGATCGCGCCGAGCATTTGAACGAATCGCATTTTTCGCAGTCGAAACCCTTCGCACCGTTATGTGATCGCATAGCTGTAGCCATAAGCCTCCATAGCGCGCGTGTTACGACAAATAAATACTTATTCGAAGTGCGATATTACATCGATACGGGAGTAATCGAAGAAAAGAAAAAGGAAATATTATTGGATATCGACAGTTTAACCGAACAAAAACGTCGTAACGTCGATCGATTCGGTTGATCGACGATTCCAGACGTAACCACGCTTTCGCTATCGTTAGCTTTCGGTTCGTTTCGAGGTCCAGATGTCGCTCGTAACGGTGCCACTATTCCGGCATAACGATGTACCTACAAAAATATGCGTACGCGCGACGTTAAAACGCCGTTATTAACGGCGAATTAATTTATTTGCTCGAATCGAATCGTGTGTCGTCCCTCGATACACGCGGATACTACACGGTAATTACTACTTGTCCGTAACTACGATTGTCCGGATTCGAGAGGAAATTAATTTATAAAGAAAGGACATGAAAAAGCATCGACTAAAATAAAAGCGATAGCGATACTGCGAGTTTCGATTTCCTCCTATTTATTTCCTTGCTCCTTACTTATTCTTGCTTACATAATCGAAGCTTTTAAAAAGAAGTTAGAGTCTCGTTGGAGTACCTTGAAAATTTGTAAGTTATATGGCGATCGCGGATAGAAAGCGAATCTTTCGCATGCCGGTAGACACGCGAACAGTTGAACAGCGGTCAATAACGTTGAAAATATCAGATTATCGTGTCTTATGGTACGCAGACGAATCGTAAAACATATCGGTGGTAACGAAGACATCCATAATCGTGATTAAACGGCCGCGCTACACCACGTCGTTATCGTGATCGAAAGAAAATCGTAGGTAACAACCGGTGCAATCGATATTTAGGTCACGGACTCTTCTAAATGCGGATGCTCGATCGGTGGACTATATTTCTTTTTTTTTTCGTACGTCGCGCGTCCGTGCGTGTATGCGAAAAATAACGAAAACTCGTGTTCGAAACGGCCTTCGCGTTACACCCAGTGATCGCTTATGTAAAAATAATATGGTAATACGACCATTGATTCCCTTTAAATTTCCAAAGTATGTGCGGGTCATAAGAATTTAGCGAGATAAACCGTTGATTGATATTATCGAGCAACCTGATCGTGCAAACGAATTACTACATAGTGTGCTGCTGTCGCTTCGAAAAATACGAAAATTTCTCTGTTGACATCATTTTTGTCGGATAACTTATCGATAGAATTTTATAGCCCCGATTGTTAGAAGCTCTATGGGCTGCGGGAACGACGGTGCGGGACGTTAGAACACGAGGTAGCTGAAACGAAGGAAGAGAAAAAGAGACGGACAGAGTGTCAGTCGCGCGAGGTCGCGATCAGGGGAAACGGAGACAGAGAAAGAGAGAGAGAGAGAGAGAGTGAGAGGAAAGAGTCGGACAGAGGGACTCAAGGTCGCTCAGAGTCGGCTGTTTCCGTTCAAGTTCGGCTGCTAAAATTGTGTGTTGGCGCGGTTTTGCGGCCTTCGCGAACGTGGCTGCTTCTCTCGCAGAAAAGTCAAGTTCAAGGCTAACCGGATAGCGCGATACGTTTTTCTTTCTTTTTCCATTCTTCGTTCCTTCTTTCCTTCCTTCCTTTCTTTCTTCCTTTCTTTCTCTTTTCCTTTCTTTCTTTCTTCCGTATACGTCCAGCTAACCGATTAATCGAATAGAGGTTAGAGACGGAAGAACGTAAGAAAATGAAAACCTGAATGGTGAATTAGTTGCACGCTTATGTAATCTCTGTTGTTTATCGTTAAAAATGTTCTTTTTTAACCGTGTTTGTTTTTCCCTTCGTCTCACCGTTACGGTCTAATTCTTTCGTTTTAACTCGCGATACATGCTCTCTCCGTCGCTGTTCCGTTCTTGTGTCATATTAGAATTCGAGTCTGCGTGCACCGACGCCCCGTTGCTTTTCATTTCATTAATCTAAACGTGGGAGATGCACACGCGTGACGGGATTCGCACGACTAGTCAAGTTCGAGGTTAACCAGATGCTTCGATGCTTCTTTTTCTCTTCTCCCCTTTACTATATTTTGCCACACGGTTCTTTCTTTGCGTTTTTCGTATATTCTTTGATCGGTAATAGAATTAATATTATGAACGTTTGTTTTCAACGAAGGATTAGCGACAATTTCGTTATTAAATTTCAGGCAATTTCGGGAGGTCTTCGCAGGTTTCCCTTAATTACGTCATCGAAGATTATTAGACAGAAAGCAACTAGAATTCGGCCGAGATTATTGGGAAAATAGATTCTGGTTACGAAGCGTTGTAACGAAGGTATCCGGTGAGAGATGGCGGTAGCGATGATAAGGGTCCGTTGTTGCAGAGATACAGACAGATATACAAGTCGGTATCTAGCCTGCGCGTAAATCTTGAAACGTGTTTCAAGTTGTTCGGTACTACTCGCAAACGGTCGCAACTGCATCTCGCAGAAAAGTCAAGTTCAAGGCTAACCAGATATTCTTCGCTTCTTCCTCTTCCCCTCGTCCTTCTACGAGCATTTAATATACGATACGGAGAAGAGGAAGACGGGAGAGGGATAAGCTTACGCAATCCTTTCACCGTTACTTTGTTCACCACCTCTCTACCTACCCACCCACCTACCTACCTACCTACCTACCTACCTACCCACCTACCTACCTACCTACATACCATTCGTTTAAGTTTAAGGACTCGTTTTCACCGAGATTATTGATACTTGTCTTTTTGTTTTGTCTTTCGGTACGGTAAATTCTCCGAGAAAATGATTTAGTAAATCGCGAGAACGGAGAAAATCTGTAGACGCGAGTCGCATGCACAACCAACGCTCGATGCTACGTACCGCGAATTTTTTCAAGTCGATTCTAAAAATGCTTGAGGCGTTGGTCGCGCTTAAAAATAGCAGCGAAAAAAAGAAGTGCAGCCGACTTCGAAGCAGACTCTTGTCTGTTCGCGTTTCGTCTGTAGCTTGCGCCAACGACTGTCGCGCCCCGTCGCTCGTAAATTCGTCTATTAAGAAAAATCTTCGCGAACGGCAAAATGCTCTATTTCGAATTGTACGCGTTATCTATTTATTTATTTTACTCGTATGAATCTGTTCGGTGAGTTACGCGTTTTTCGGTTTATTTCGAAACAACGCGTAACGCGATTCTTCTAATTAGCGATCGACGAATAAACGAACATAATGACAGGTTATTCGAGTCGTATAAAAATACGGTAAACACGATGAAAAATAAGAAATGTTCGCTGTTTCAGGTGTGTATGATGTCCGGCGCCGGCATAGAAAATATGATTGGAAATAATAGAACTATGGCAAATATCAAGCAAGAAGTCGAGAATCCTACGACGCCTACGCAAAACTATCAAGTCTGTTCACCGACCACCACCCTTCAACATCAAGAGGTATTTTTCACCTATCGCATGCAACCTAGGCTTCCCTTAGTTAAAAGGAAGTGTAGATGATGATGAGGAAGAAACAGAAGAATAACAGCAAGATGAAGTAGACGAAGACGAAGTAGAACGGAGCAAAAGCAAAAACAAAAGCAGAAGAAGAAGCAGAAGAAGAAGAAGAAGAAGAACGTTTTGTTTGCTCGTGTCCTTTATGCGCGAAGACAGGAGGTTTTAGGTTAAGCTCTCCCTAAGCTGGACCTGCCCTCTCCCTACCCACCGTTACGACACTTTTTCCCCCTAGATTCTCCATTCGATTCTCTTCTGGTTCCGCCGAGATTCTTCCTAGACTCTTCCACTAAATTCCTTACGCTCTGGCATCGTAATCGCTCCTGAAATATCCCTACCTTCTTTCTGGATCGTTACAGAGTTCTTCTTGCATTCTTCCAAGATTCTACTTTCCTTCTTTACTAAGAGAAGCCTACGTTACGTCGCCCGGATTTACCTTTCTTTCGACATTAAATAAACGATACGACGCGAGCCGAACGAATCGGAGCAATCGTTAACACACGCATTTACGATGCACAGGTGATTTGCGGTAAAATGGAGGTTCCAGCCGATTATGGCGGAGGTGGAGGTAGCCCTGGTAGTCCCGAAATGCATCACTGTTCGTCCACCACGCAACCCTTAGGGACACCGGAGGTATACGCGATTGTAGCAAACACATGGTATACGTATATTTTTAAACGGATACGAACGATGTAAAATAGAATTACGTTTTATTTAGGAAGGTGTCAAAGAAGAAGACATGATACCGAGAAGGTTGTGCCTTGTTTGCGGAGACGTCGCGAGTGGATTTCATTATGGGGTCGCGTCTTGCGAAGCGTGCAAGGCTTTTTTCAAAAGAACCATACAAGGTAAGAAGAGTTCTTTCGTACTTGGAAATATTTCCGCGTACGGCTATTTCCAGGTAGCACCACCTTTTCATCGAAACCGCGCAAATATTTCACGCAAATAATATCCTGCTAGTTCCTTCGTTATTCTTCGTTAAGTTCCACCGCTGCTTCGTTCGAGTTCTCGGACTAAGGACCAAGTTACGTGTTCTACGCCACCGAACGCATTCGTGTTATGCAACATTGGTGCTACCTGGACGAAGACCATGTATATTACAATAAAATAGCGAGTAATTTCACAGGTAACATCGAGTATACGTGTCCAGCGAATGGCGAGTGCGAGATAAACAAACGGAGAAGGAAAGCGTGTCAGGCGTGTAGATTTCAAAAGTGCCTTCGACAAGGCATGTTGAAAGAAGGAGTTCGATTGGATCGTGTCCGAGGAGGTAGACAAAAATATAGAAGGTCCACCGATCCTTATACGCCGGTGAAGACAGCTCCGTTGGAAGGTGATTGTTAAAATCTAATTGCAAACCGCCTGTAAACACCTTGTTTTCGATCGTGATCGTATGGAGTATAGACACGCACAACATGAAAACACTTTAGTTGACAAGTACGATTAAATTTCTGATCTATTTTATTGTTTCTAGCAAACGTAGGGACAGGAGCTTCTAACGAAATAATAAGTAAGCCATCAGCTCCTATCACATTTTTATTTTCCTTCGTTCAATTATTTCCAAAGTGTTCGGTTTTGTCTCGGTAGATCTGTGTTCATCCGTCATTCGAAATCATCGTGTATTAACGATAATACAGTGTCATTCGAAACGATAAACGGTTTTATTTATTGATAGATAACAAAATGCTGGAAGCACTGGCTGCCTGTGAGCCTGATATGTTGCAAGTGTCCAATCTCTCTCATACTCTCGATACGGATCAGAGAGTACTCGGTCAATTATCCGACTTGTACGATCGAGAATTGGTTGGAATAATCGGTAATACGTCACACTACGTATACGTATATGTCAGAGAAAAAGTATTCGTTCGATAAATGTATCCGCTCCATCGAACGTATAAATCATACGGTGGAATTAACTCGTTTATCGTAACATATATGCATGTATAAAAAGTAATAGTAGGTGAAAAGTGGTTGATCGTCATCTGGAATTTATACTTATTTGTAGGTTGGGCAAAACAAATCCCTGGATTCAGCGGTTTAGCGTTGAACGACCAGATGCGACTGTTGCAAAGTACGTGGGCTGAAATCTTGACGTTCAGTCTAGCGTGGAGAAGTATGCCCAATAATGGTAGATTAAGATTTGCCCAAGATTTTACCCTCGACGAGAGACTCGCGCGCGAATGCCATTGTACGGAGCTGTACACGCATGTGAGTACCTGGATTCTTTCAACGTCTTATAACTAGTTCGTTACTAGTTTGTCACCTTGTACAGCGAACTCTCGTTAGATATCGTTACCCACGGAGTCAAACAACTTGACGAGTCTTTCAACGCGTATATAACTAATTCTTGTTAAGGTGGGAATAGAACGAGAGTGTGCTGTATGCAGCAACCTTTCAAAGTTACCGCGTTTGTTACGTTTAATTTGCTCATTTTCAACCTATTCTATACTATGAAGTAATATTGCACGTATAGTACACGTAATAAGCGGTAACGCGTGTCGACAGTAGATGTAAGTCGGGATCGTGTTGCGTTCCCGTTCTTCTCTTTCGATTAGTTCGCGCCTCGGCGAGGATCAGCAAACATAATAAGGTTGACAATAAACGAAATATAAAAGAACGCCGACCATTCGACATCGTCGCGTGGTCGCGATGGTAGGTGTCACGCGTGAGCTTGGCCGAACTCTAGTTCCAGGAAATGGTGAAGACCACCGTGCGTTCGCTATCGAGGCAAAAGATGCGTCTACTGTCGAGGCTACGTTATATTTTTCTAATTTCAAACTATACACGTAGTCATGTTAATGTTTTCCCGACAGATCATACAACGTGTTGTTTGCTTTTGAACAGTGTATTCAAATCGTTGAAAGGCTTCAACGATTGGGCCTGACCAGGGAAGAATATTACATGCTGAAAGCGTTGATACTGGCGAATAGCGATGCAAGATCGGACGAGCCACAAGCGCTTTATCGTTTTCGTGATACTATTTTGAATTCTCTCTCGGATTGCGTGGCCGCAATAAGACCCGGACAAGCGTTGCGCGCCACACAAAACATGTTCCTAGTGTTGCCCAGTCTCAGGCAGGTCGATGGAATTGTTAGAAGATTTTGGTCCAGTGTTTATCGAACGGGGAAAGTACCGATGAACAAGTTGTTTGTAGAAATGCTGGAAGCCGCTTATTATCGATGAAACATCGATTCGAACATTCGTTTCATTTTCAATGATTCGTGTACCGAACGACGCCAACAAAACCCGCTATTACCATTCGAGGTAATGCACACCAGCGTTTATGTTCTGTAGATACGCTGGCAGTGTGTTGTATGCGTGCGCGTGTGTCTATGTGCGTGTATGTATGTATGCGTGCGTGTACGCGTATACGCGGGTGAGAGAGAGAAAGAGAGAGAAACAAAGAATAGAAGTAACTTGCGTTTTTCTCTCGAGAGTCTTTCGACGTGTACGCGGGAAAGACAGAAGTGTTAAACAGGACGAGAATCATATGTTGCGCGGTTTCGTTTCTTCCCATTAAAGGGATAGACTCAAAAATATAAAATAGAAAAGGAAGAAGAAGAAGAAGAGCTTTATTTTTCGATCGCGTCGAAGCGTGTTGGAGCGTGAAACTTAATGGCCAGTGATTCCAGCAATCGTCGAAACTCGCAAACACACTATATACGAATAGCAAGCACACTGTTTCGTCGATACAACTAAACTTTCCTTTTCGAGTACCCCTTTTACAGGTACAGAGAAAACAAAAACGAAAAGAAATCATGGTATATGTCAGGTTTGGTGGGTACGTAGTACAAGATGCGAGATGCTTTCTTTTCCGGAGCTCTCAATTTAGGCTAGTTTATGAAAAGAAACAAAATAAATGTCGATCAGACAGCAGCATCTACCAAATACACTAAACGATTTCATTTACGTAATGATCAGGTTACGACGACGACGACGACGATGATGATGATGCATTGCCGAATCGGTGATATATCGTAAACACTATTAAAAGATAAAAATAAACAAATAAATTAATTAACTAATAAAGAATTTGCAAATGTACTAACTGTGGGTGTTTGACGTTTTAGTGTTAGCATTGTGTTACCAAAAAAAAAAGAACAAAAATATACCAATTTAATCAAAAACCACACGCGTAGCTCCAGGTTCGATCGTTGTTTAAGTTACCGTCTTTTTTTCTGAGAAAACGAAATAAAACGGAAACAAAAGAAAAAAGGAAAAGAAACAGAAAAAAAATATAGTCAATTTGGGACTATGTAGAAAGAACATGAAACTCTATATTTTTTAATATAGTATCGATAAAATGGTACGTCGTTTTATATGTATAGAGTAACTGCACACTTTTTAAAAATAATAGGCGTGCGAGAAAAAAAGCGATCAATATGAAACAGCGATGGGCAACTGCAAGGGTACGCGAACACTCGAGTATGCCTAGTCAATTACTCGATTACGATATTTTGAAATTTCTAAAATTTCATGTTTCCTAATTTTTTGAATGTACAAATTCTGTACCGATTGATTTACGAATTTCGAAACTTCCAGATCATCGCGCACTTATCGCGTACATCGATGCTCGCGAATTCCGCGAGGAGTACTCGATTTGCCCATCACTGACGCGAAGCGTGTAGACTGTGTGTGACTGCATTGAACATCCATAGTTGAATTATTTCAGCGAAGTTAAATCGTAGTATGCGCCGTTGTACAAATCGAACCAATTAATCGCGGACAGAGCTGTGAACCAGTGAACAAGAAGGATAAAGAATGGCCGGATCGTTCTCTGAATCGAGGCCATGCTATTTCTTTCTTTTTTTCCTTTACTTACGAGGTATCGTACGAGGGGAAGAGAATTAAAAATCTACGATTATACTTCGAGGACGAACCTTTTTCGACGACGAGGTAGCCAAGTTCTTTAGAAAAAATGAGCTAAGAGGGAGAAAAAGAGATTTAATGGATTGTTGAAGCGATTGTAAAATGTTATTCGCGCGTGCCACACGAAAAGCGTAGGAGAATATATATATATACATACACACATATATATATATATTATATTATTATTATTATTATTATATTATATGTGTATTCAGGGATCTTTATTATCTAGTTTACTATTGTTACGAGATCCGCGATGACAAATACTGGATCAATTGTGCATAATATCGTTTTCTTTTCAAAGCGATAGATCGCGAAATATCGTTAGGAACTATTAATTTGTACGCAAAGAGTTTCGTTCTTACGAAAATAGGAGAAAAAACGGTATGCAGTAGTTTCATTTTGTGTTTTTGTTTCTCGGTTGAATATATACGCGACAAGCGACAAGGTTTCTTTTAACCCTTCCGGATAGACGTCGAAAAATGCTTTTTCTCACCGTTGTCGATCGAGAAAACATTATTTATCATAATCGTGCGATTCGATGCAATATAGGCACGTAAGGTCAATGAAAGGAGTCTAGGAAAGTTAACGTAAGGGCGCGTAGCTTTTCTTTGGTTAGTAGTCCAAAGCGTAGTGGAAAGCGTAGGAGCTCGTTCAGCGCGTATCTAGGAATAACTTAGAGCGAGTTAAGAGAAAGAGAGTAACTCGCGTGTTTCGTTTGCACCGTTTGCGATTAACGCGCTTTTGGACGCAACATACAATTATTAGCAAGAACCACGGTCGACTACGAAAAATCGTGTTGGTCTCCATGAGTCAAGTAAGAGAAGCCGAAGCGTTTAGTAATCGTGTTTCGTTCCGTAGTCCAGAAAGGGTTAATCAGTGTTCTTAACTTCAGCCTGTTTGTTGTTCGTCGTGATCGCTTCATACGAAAGAAAAAGTAACAAGTTACTAAAACGAACAGATATAGAATAAACATTATAATAAATTAGACGCGTTATGTACATGTTCGGCTGATGTTGGAACGTTCGAACAGAAACCTTGTACGATCTTGAAGCGACAAAAGTGCAATATTCAGGATATAAGCTATCTTTCTCTCGATGTCTTTGTTGTCTGTTGAGTAGTAAGAACGTCGGTTTCTTTCATTTTCAAAACTTGGTCCAGATCTACGTGCTTTTTTCCCATAAGTTCGAAAAGAAACGTAGAAGCACCGAAAACGGTATGAAAACTACTTTCCAGGCGCGTATTTTTTATTTTTATCGTATTATTTATTATTATTATTATTTGTTACTCGAACTGGAAAATTTCTCGCTAATACAGATCACTACAGTTCCTTACCGTTTTCTATCGTGAATACTCGAAATTGAATAAAGCACGAACAACTCTTTCACATGCGTTCGATTTGTTTCGAAGCCGATGCGCGCGTAAACCGCTTGTTCGATAAATAATCGTGTGTAGCTCTGGGCTGTGTTTAAAAGCATGAAATTTTTGTCCGACCCTCTTCGCATTTAAACACGTACGCACGCATACGATATGAAGTCATAATTGATCAACGATGTATTAGTTATTAGTCGATTCACGAGGGTTCCTCAAGCGGACGAAGAATGTAGCGGAGAAGAAAGTTGAAAAAAAGAAGGGAGCGATTGTTATATAAAACCATGGCGAACTTTCATTTCGTATTTTCTTTTTCTTTTCTATTTTCAACTAAAGTTAGTTAGATCGCTCGTTGAGTCGTAACCGAGCGTTTTTAACGTTTCTGGAACGTCGACGAAACACGTTGGGTAGTTGTCGCGACAAGCGTTCGTTATTAGACTTTATTAGAGCGTTCGTTCGCGCAGCGTGTGCGAACGTATACCCCGATGCGACAAAGGCTTTTCTTTCGACAAGAACTCGGAGATGTGGAAATTTTCGATCGTTCAGTTTAGCGTTTAGATCGTTTCGGTTTAGCGAAAGTAGCATATGAGCGAACAAGAATGTCGGTCGCATTCGGGTGTACGTTAGAAGCGATAAGTTTGAACGCGACAGTATCGAGTCTCGAAGAATGTTATTCGATGATATTTTAGTTTCTAGTTCGAAACGGTGATGTTATCGAGAGCGGATAGTTTGTAATCGCGTTCTATTAAACGCGTCAACGTTCTTCTTCTTCTTTTCTTAGTAATTTGAGTCGATGAGCTTCTTTCTTCGAACTGTGATATACAAGTTATTTGGACAGAGTAATCCACGTTCTGGTTTCACTCGTTCGTCTTAAAGGTTTAGGTTTTTCTTCGTAAATGTTTGTCGCTGCAGTTACACGGTATCGATACTTCGAACGAACTTTCTGTTTTTTGCTTTCTCGATTTTTCCTATTAGAAATGTCGAGAAATATCGCGGCGATTATTTCGTAAATGGATCTTAAACACCCATGGCATGTACATATTAACGAGACGTAAATCATATCGTTCGTTGTGTCGTGTTTAAAACGCTTATATTTTTCCGCGATTTCGGATGTTCACCGAGTTAGCTTTCTATTAAAGGGAAATAACGATTTTACTATATGTTTACTATCTATCCGATGGTTATCCACTATAGCCAAGTTACCGCGGTATTTAATAGATAACCGGGAAGAGAATCGTGCGGTTCGATTTGTCTCGAATTAAGTACGGTGAAGCCTCGATATTTTGTCGTGTCAGAGATTGTTTCAATACCGTAGCTGGTCCACACGCGCATATTCGCGTATCTTTAAGAAGGACATTATGCGTGTATTTAGGCAAACGGAAAATATCGACGTTTCACCGAACTCTTGTATCTTTTACTCCCTAATCGGTCACAGTCGAAGGCTAGAAATTCTATCGAGGCTCAGATCGTAATCGTAACATGTTGTTAACACGTCAAATGCCGTAACATCAAAATTCCATTCTAAATACTCCGAATGCGCACTAGTAATCGTCGTATTGTCACTGACGCAGCCACGAAAATTTACTTGAAGGTGGCAATTTAGAAAAAATTATTCCTGTAATTGCTCGATAATAAGCATTAAATTTGTCAGGTCGATCTTGGGTAACGCGTGATCGGCCCGGTGTTGAACGTGTTAACCGCATGTTCGATTAACGCGACATCGATAATTATTTTATTTTGTTTTTCGTAATACGTTGCGCGGCGAATGAAGGGAGAACAAGATTTCGATGAAATATTTTTGCGAGTCCGAAGGAACGTTGCTGCTTGGACATGTTGGATTTTCACGACTTTTACAAGCATTTTCCTCTCGTACATGTGTATTCGATTCACCGTGGCGGTAGAATCGTAGTCTCAGGGTTACAAACAAAACAAAATAAAACAACCAACAAATAAAATACAAAACAAACGATACAAATTTAGACACGTATAAATAGATAAGGGAGCGAGTATAATTGTGGAGCAGGATATTATAATAGTAAATGATAGTAGTAACAAGGATGATGAAAATATTGATGATTATGACGACGATGATGATAATAATAATAACAACAACCAACAACAACAATAATAATAATATTAATCTTAATAATATAATAATAATAATAGTAATAATAATAATAATAAAAATAATAATAATAGATAACAATAATAGATATAAATATTAACGACGCCGGCGACGACGACGATAACGATGAAGAAAAATATGGATGATTCCGATGACGATGAGTATGATGGTAATAAAGATAACGATAACAAAAGATACTGTAAATATGCAGTGGATCTTTACGTTGTACAATCGAAACTTGTGTATATTTGCTTGCATTTTACCTGCAGTTTCTTCTTTCTTCCTTCGATCCTTCGATTACGATATACCGCTCTTCTTAACTTTACGGCTTTAAAATATACACATTGTAGCGTTCTCGTTACTTTCGTTGTATCGTGTCATCGCGTACCGTGAGTACGTCTTCCTGTCACGGAAAGAACGAGTCCGTGTTAGGAAAGATGACAAATGAATCGCGCCGAGAGACGTTCCATATATCATAAGTGGACACTGCTTACAACAATGTGGATTTCAGGGGATAGAGAAACATTTATTCACTCGCGATACTTTTGTTTTTATCGAAGTAACGAAAGAAATTACTACAGTATGATTCTTTTCTAGTAAATAACTATTATGTTTTTAACGCGAATATTTTGAAATAAAGAGAATACTTGGTTCTAAATAAGAGTACCGGTACGCGTACGTTAGGTTTCCTTGCTAGGCTATCCTTACGTTGCTAGGTTTTCCGTTCGCTCAAAGTTCATTTTATATTTTCTTTCTTCCCGGTATCTTTCGTTGAACAAACACGATCGTTTCGAGCGCTTTGGAGATTAAGATCGCTCGAAGGAATCGCGCCACGGTAGAAAAATGCTTGTTCGCGGTTTTCGAATAAGCCGATTTCAACGAAATAGTATACCGGTCGGTGGTCAGTTCACGCTGTAATCATGTCGGGAGAGGTGGTTTCGCGTTTGTTTCTCTGTCTGCTAACCTTTTGCTTTCTTCCAAAGTTTTCTGGTAAGCCGTATTTCTTTCTTATTCATCGTCATACCCTCGAGCGAACGAATTAGTTAACGATCGTAAAGTGATCGAATTTTTCTCCCACAGAAAGCAGTGGTTACGATAATTGTTTGAACGTCGATATGGTAGAAATGGAGGATTATCTGTCGAAATTAAACGTGGAGAACGTGGCGACGATCGATAGGATGGTAGGCGGGTCGAAAGGTCCGGCTACCGCATTGCCATTCGGTGCCCTCCAATCTGACTGGGCAAGGATGTTGCTACTGATAAAGAGAACGCGATCGAGCGATACCGTTCTCGCGGAGAAACTGGCTCGTCTTTTCAGAATCTTGCGGGCTGTTTATTTTCGAACCGAATCCAGCGAATCAACCTCGTCGACGACAGAGTTTACTGCACGGAACGAAACAACGTTAACAGCGGGATCGTCAAAACCGGCGGCAGTCGTCGCGTCGAACCGGAGAAAATTAACGAGAGATTTTGCCAAGTCGAACGAATTTAATACGGCGAATGTATCTGCGCCTCGCAAATTTATATTACCGAGTACGGAATCTTCGATCTCGACATTTAATACGTCGGACGAGTCAATATCGAAGAACGTTAACGACTCGATCCCAACGTTTGCTATTACTGACCTGGCACGGTTAACCACTACTCTTACCGGCTATAAAAAATCGATCACGGAAAATGTCGAAGATAAGCAGACTACTAATCGTAAATCAATATTTGCTCCCGAAGTTAGTGTAACGACCAGTGAGGTGAAAGGGGATTTCGAGAGGACAAAAGGTAGAGGTGATTTTTCCATATTTCACGATTCTTCGAACCTCGTATCGAACGACACGGATATTCGGAGCACAGAGGATCGCTCGAGGTTCGTCACGATGCGGTATCGTAACGTCGCCGATAGACGGAATTACATCTATAATAATATACCAGTTCGGGATTTTCAAAATATCCCATCGAATAAAGTTTTCATCTATTCACGATCGAATAACGATTCGTGGAAATACATGGTAAATTATCGAAACGTCACTTTCGCTCCTTCCACGACGGCGAGATCAATCTCCGAAACGGAAAATACTAACGACGTCGACGGCAATATCGAGAAATTTAAGAAACGCGACAGCTTGAAAAATTTCCGCTGGTTTTATAATTTGGAAGAGAAAGATACGCGTGTCCGGTACGTAGCTTCTTCCATATTATTTTTATTACTTAATTTTATTAGATTAAATAAAACTGACGCGTTTCGTTTACAGCAACCTTCCTAATTCCCCGACGATCAACATCGAATGCGATAGACGCGATGGAAAATAAATTTCTCTCTCAAATATTGTTACACCTATTCTTAATACATGGACTAATTAATTATACTCGTCGTTGCCGTTGAATGTATATCTTTCCTTTATAGAAATATTGGTTTCGCGAGGATCCGTTACACGTAGCTAAATCTTATCGACGATATTTCGAATCAGTCCATAAATTTACGATCCAGGACACTAGCGAGTAGCACCATTTACGAGGTTAGCAGCTGGTTACGTTCGTCGTGTTTTACGAGTCGTCATAAACGGACTCTTCTTATTATCTCGATTCTTCGCGCAGAATTTTTCAAATCGTCACCGTGTCGATTTTCGGCCATAGCTCCGGGATGGAACGGTCCGCCTACACGGTCAACGAATCGTCGATATCGTGTTCCCAACGCGATTACCGTCCAGTTACAATTACACGAAACCGTGAAACGAAGATACGCGAGTACGCGGTGTTTTTTTTTGTTTCAATATTTTTCGCTGTTAGCCGAACAGGGAAACGGATAACGAAACTAGGTAGATCGTATAATTGGGTTTACGCGAACCATCACGATTCCCGAATGGTTTAATAACAATTTTTCGAGCTAGTATGGCTGATCAGTTTAATTTGAACATCAGCGACGCTGTTGCTACGTATTAACGAATCGAATAAAGAGCGGATAGCTAGTTTCATTAACTCGATTCGAACGATCTACGATTCGAAGACGTATTCGAAAGGTTTACCAGAAAGGTACGTGGAAAAATGAAATCGTAACAGTCTCGGTATCGATACGATCCGAGTCGCACGATCACGGTCTGGTCTACTTTCATCGCGGCGTTTTCCATCCCGAGAATTTTCGCCGAGTCGAATTCGTTTGAGATTTCTCTTTTTCGTTCAGAGGTTTCCTCGTACTTTGCCATTGTTTTCTCAGTCCTCATCGTCGCGGTTCATAATAGAAATTAATTAAAGGACTCTCTCTAATTGAAATCCACGGAAAGTTTGCCAGGTTGGATGTGCAGACTAACTGAAAACCTTATCTGACTTTCAGAGATCGGTCGTTAGCATGTAATTAAGAGCGATTGTAGCCTGTGCTTGTTCGTATTCGCGTTTAGCTACGGACGGGCTGGATACCATTGGAAAAAAGACTTTTCATAGTCGCGAGACTAAAGTATCGTCGTTTATTGAAACTTACTTGCATAGTACATCCGGGATTATTCTCCGGATTAAGAATTTGACTCTCGAAAGTCGAGATAGGTTTTCCGGCGTGGCGGCTAATTTGTTACCGTCTCTCCGAGAAACAATGTACGACTAATCCTCATGGCGGGTAATCGCGAAGAAACGATAAGTAATGGGCAAATTTGTTTAGGCGAATTTCGCGTTCGCCCGCGATTAATCGGCGTCGTTTGTCAATCCTCGGGTCTCGTCTGTTCTCCGCTCGGACGAACGATCGTTCTCGGCTTAATTCGTGCCTATTTCGCGTATGAGGAAGCGTTCTAAACGTAGGGGTAAGTCCGTTGAAGCAAAGTAGAGATCGAGTCGTTTGGACGAAGAAAAAGGACAGGCAACGAGGAGACAGAAGCGTGCTCGGTTTCGAAAGCGAAGAGGAAACCTGTCGACGAGGAGGAGGTGACTGCAATTTCATCGATGCTCGAGAGTCGACGAGCTTGCCGTGCGATTCCAATTAAATCAGCCAACAGCTTTTGTTCTCGATATCCTCACCTATCGTTCATCCTCCTTCTTCTTCTTCTTCTTCTTCGTTTAACGGGACCCACTGACCCGTCTTCTACACCTCTAGAGGGGTAAATCTTTTAAATGTTCGATTTAAGATTATATAAATAAGATTTATTTGTAAGGTTATTTAGCCGATCCGGTTAATCTTTGTAGCGTCGAAGAGAGATTGCTTTCGTAGTTTCGTTCGGGAAAGGAATTTTACAGAGTCGCGGCTGGTACGTAATTTTTATTCATTTCCAAAGAAGCGGGAGAGGGACAGGAAGAGTTTAATACCAAAGAGAACCGCTGCAAAGGGATTCCAAAGGTTTTCTGCTCGTTCGACTGTGGTTTCGCCGGATCTTTTGTTATATTGCCTTCTAGTGTCTCGCGTTTGTCCTTTTATTTCGGTTAATAGAAATACTCCGCGTGGTTCTTGGCGACGCGAAACAAAGGGAACGCGTAGGGGGAGAAAGCAGTTTTTTTCTTTGAACAGGCGTTTCGTGTTGTTCCACGAGCGACGAGGTACGTTCGAATTAAGAAAAGAATCGTATAAACGCGAATACGCGTAACAATAGCGCGATGCCTGTCTCCTTTTTCTTTCCGTTACGATTACCGGAGAGCGAACCGGTGCCATTGAAAAGATATTCTCTTATACATACTATAGAACGTATATAGAACAGAGAGATATTGTTCCGAGGCTAATTACTCGGGAACGATTAAGGCGAGACGTTGAACCTGCGAAAGGTGGAAAATTGGAAAAAGAAATTTAGCGAGTAAACTGATGGATACGCGGAAGTGTACAAGCGCGCGAGCTACGTATCGCGAGAGATTCCTCGTTAACGGAAGTAGGAAATCGGCGATTCCGAAGGAGGGTTCGCGAAGCGACCGGAGGGGAAGCGATCTCCCGACTAGAAATGATTTAAGGGTTGTTATCGGGAAACGGGGCTGCGGCTCGGAGCGTCCACGTCAGCGAGAACGTCCGTATCAATTCGTGTCCCGAGCAGGCCAACCTTAACTTCGGTAGCTCGTTGGCCGGGCCAATGTCGACCTCGTTCCGACTCGAACTATCTGTCTAGCTGACTCTAGTCGAGGGTATTTAGCCGAGCGAGTCCTCGACGAATCCGGGACGAGGTAGGACGCGGCGCGACGCCTACGTGTCAGGAGCGTCGATGTATCGTCTATTAGAGCGAGTTAACGCGCGATTGCTTCGAAAGTGCAATGGCGAGTGATGAATCGGTGATTAAGATGCGCCGTTCCACCGTCCGAAGCGGACGCGTTCTCGTTGCGTTCTCTCGGACGATCGACTCGACGATCGATCGTTCTCGTTTCGTTTTCGAATTAATCGGCTCCGATCTTTACGCGTTTAACCTTGGCTAAGAGGCAGACGTCTGGATCGTCGGCCGAACGCTTACATCGATCTAGCAAGCGTGTCGCGACGATAACGACAAAGTTCCCAGGTAAATTGGAAGAGCCCAGGGGTAATCGCGCGAAATTGCGAGGCATCATACTCGGAAAGACGCCACAGTCGCACCTATATCCGCGCACAGTTTGCAGTCAGAGCGGTAGCTGTACGTGCCGCATCCGGCAGAGTTTCTATCCGGGCAAGCTAAAGTTTCTCGCAGCCCACCTGTGCGGATCTCGAACGCTCGAGACTCCAGCCTCTAGATTCTTGCTTCGTCGACACGTATCGGCATGCAAACGAGGGACGCGAACTTCCAACTAACTAACTAAGAAGAGAGGCTTCTTTGCTATTCGTTAGAACGTTGTTTTTTAGAATACTTTCGATATAAGTGTAATAACAGTTTTCGATCTCTGCTGGAGTCGTTCGTTCGAAAGGAAGAAATATAGATTAGTTCCGAGAACGCGTAGAAGGATGCCTAACGTCGGAAGCATACGATTTCGCGGAGTGGACGAGCTGACAGGAGAAAACGGGCCGGTAACGACGGAGTAGGATCAGTTACTCTTCCAGGAAGGGATGCGTTGGCCCGTGAACTCGCTGATAACGCAGAATTATAGTCTCGCCACTGGCAGAAGCAGCACCCTTTTCGCGCGACTCCCTACAAAATCTCTTATCGTACCGAGACGAGTCCATTCGCGTAACGCCTTGCCCGTGCCACACACGCATTTTTCTCCTTTTTCTCTTTCCTTCCGTACTCCGTCTTTTATTATTTACTATTTGTCTCTTTCGATCGGACAATTTTGAAACGTTTAACGCCTGGCCAATACGAGAATATCTCCTTGTATTCGTGTCGACTTCCTCTTCGAGAAAGTAGTTTCCACGAGGACGGCAACGTATCGCTGAATTAAAATGCGCGTACGACGAGGAAAGTAACGAGTCGGCAAGGCGACGACAAAAAACCCGAATTCCAGAGGATTTTCTCCGGAAACAATTTGCTTGCTCCTTCTCGTAGCTCCGTAACATCGGCCGATTAAATTATCCGACGAATCCTGTATACCTATACATACGTTTGTGCTGCTCTATTTTCGGGAGAACGGCGCGGCGGAGGATTAAAACGATTCTACTACCGTCCGCTATGGGACATCTAATTGGCAACGGACAACCATAATCGCGAGTCCTCTTTATTTACGAGGCAGCATATCCATCGTGACGAACTCGTTTCTCTCTCCATAGGTTCGATGAAAAATCGAACGTTTCTCTTCGCGTTGGACGATGGGGAGATTTTATTTCGAGCGATCGAGTTCATTCGCGAAATAGAGAGAAAATTACGGACAATTATTAAACGAGCTTTGGACAGGAGCAGTTTTATCGCGCAACTTTCGGATAAGATCTTTGCGCGAACGGAACGCGATGTATTTCGAGGAAATTAAACGCGAAACGGTTCGGTCAAATAATGCGAGGTATCGAATCGAAGAGAAGACGTAGATATTTTTTCAGCGGCGTAATCGTTGGAGGGCGTAACGTTATTCGACGGGAGAATAATTTTCGTAAATATAACGCGCAACAACCTCGACGAGAGAAAATGATCGGGGAACATTTTCGAAATTGCATCGTACCCGCAGCCTCTTCGTTCCTGATTATTTTTCAATTACACCGCCGCTCGCTAAATTGCTTTCGTTCGTTGACTCGCTTTTGTTGCTGAACCGAAACAATATTATGATTGGTTCGAAAGAAGAGAAGAGAAGAGAAGAGAAGAAACGAGCAATGCCGGAGAATACGCGTATATTTAAATAATTTGAAAGCGGTCGTGGACTCCGTCGCTTTTTCGATTAGTTCTCGCGTTTGTTGCTGCGTTTCCTCGTAGGCCGTGACGCGTCAACGCGATTTCGCGTCTTTCGTGTCGCGAAGCGAGCTAATTCGTTCGGCGAGTCTTCTTTTTATCTGATTTTCGATATTACTCGTTTTCCACTTTGTCGTACGAGTTTGCATGGCCGGGTTCGGCTACGAGGGGAAATCGCAATATGGGAAAGGCTCGCGATACGAGCTTTGATCCTGTGTCACGGTGTTCGAACTCATTTCGAAAATTATCTACTCTTTAGCCGAGTGACGTTTGAAAATCGCGAACCTTTCTTGCTTATTGCTTTCAACGGGTGAATCGAATTTTTCTTCTACAAGCAGCGCTTATTAAACGTATATAAACTATCGACAACTTCTAAGCGACGACTTCCGACGAAGTTGATACGA